CCTGTTGTTGAGCCCTGTCGAGGGTTAGTTACGGCAAGGGGGTGGGCGCATGCTACGAAGCGACCCGACCCTTTTGTGACCTTTTTCTTTTGCCATCATTCTTGCTGAGATGGAAGTACATACCTTACTTTGCTCCGTGCCTGCGCATGTGTCTCTGCCGCAAGAGGCATGGCATTCGCCGGCGTGTATCGTGTATCCAGCCCAGGCACCATGTACCAGTACCGGTCGCTTGCCTCCCAGGATATGAGACTTCACAATTCCACACTGCCTGCTGCGTCAAACGCATCGCCGTGCTTGTTGGAAGCGCCATGCCGCCACCCCAGATATTTTTGGGGAAATCCCTTCTTCTCTGTGGGGAGAGGAGAGATGTAGTTAGTAGAGTGAATGTAGATGATATGCGCGACGACGGGCGGCTCCTGTTATTGCCATTGTTAACAAAAACTGGCGAGACACCCGCCGTCGTTCGACAGACGGGGGCCTCTCACCCTCCCTCTTGGTTCCTTTTCCCCAACTGCTGCCCGCTTGCTGGCCGAAGCGCTGTTTTTACACAGATCGAGGGGCACGATTCGACGTTGAGAAGGGCGAGAACGAAGAGATCGTTCTCTACGGCCACGCACTGGAGCACCACCAACCATTCAGCTTCGCCGGCAGCTCCTCCGCCAAAGCGGCCCGAAGCCTCTCAATTTCTGGAGAGATATTGATCTGTCCAGTCCCTCGCCAGTTAGCGGGCCACGATTGGGACTATCAACCAGCAAACGAGCCGTGCGCCCCCAAAAAGAGCGAGAGGCAGAGCTTAGCCTAACCACGGGACGATCGAATCGAACCGCATTCGTCTCTTTTGGTTCTCTGCTCGCTCGACAGAGTCCTCTTTTACCCATCATCCGGGGGGGGGGGGAACCTCTGGCATTTTTACCGCGGGGTGTCTCTCTGCAGGAACTAATCTGGATTGCAACCCAAGAAGGTCGCTGTCGTCACCCGACGGGGGGGATATTGGGATTTGTGATATTGGCGGTTAGTCTTTTCTTTTGTGTCTGGCCTTTCCCCGAGGTACCTTCTTCCTTGCTCGATATCACACCCTGGAATAAGCCCAGCCGAAGATATATTGCGGCCCATTTGCCACTGTTCCTGGTTTTTCCTTCTTTTTTGCCGGCTTGCTGCGTTTCGCAACGGGAGTTGTTTTTTTTTTGTTTTTTTTTTGTTCTGGCAAAGAGACGAGACGAGACGAGGGCGTGCGTGAGCAAGGGCCAAGCCAAGCAAGCGGGTGTGCACAAGTCCCTGCTCCATTTGTACTTTTCTTCTACTTGTGACCGCGGCTGTGCAAGACACGACACCACACGACACGACACGAAACGAACGAGCCTGGCTAATAACTGGCAGGCAGGCAAGCAATAAAGGAAAGAAGAAAACGGAACCAGCCGGAGGTCGCAGACAGACAGACTTCGGCACATCTTCATAGCGAGCCGCGGCAAAGGAAAAAGAATAGCACGGGAGGTGGTGCCGTTGATGTTGATCTTGTTGTTGCATTGCTGCCGTCACCAGAGACATCATCATATCATCAACCACGACAAACGCAGCCGTTCAGCAAGCCATCGGCGGTACCTCGTTGTTTTGAGGAAGGGGAAGCGAGACACACATTCACATTCACACGCAGGCATTGCGAAGTAACCAAGGTACGGAGTGACACCCACCACTCGCACTCCCACCCCCGAGCCAAACCCATACACACCCCAACCCCAGCCCACATATCCCGAACAGACGCAGCATAATCGCGCGTCAAACACTGCACGACCACCCTGGCCTGCAGCCAAGTCAGGGAAAGAAAAGAAAGAAAAAAAAAAGAGGCAGCCACCCCGGCCCAGCGTCTGTCTCGCAATCCCTACTGTCCGTCTCTTCTTTTTTGTCTCGTCTCTTTTCTCGTCTCTTTGCCTTCCTGCAGGCAATTATAGGGTACTTATGCTACCTTGGGCCTCGCTGCCTTGCGTACCTGCACTGTCCTTGTTTAATACCTAGTTATTCATTCGCTTCCCATTTCTTACACATCTTTCACGCAGCCCAAACGACGCTATTGTACCTGCGGACCGCCACAAACGACGGACGGCATTTAGAGCCACACCCCCCCCTCCCTCCTCCCTCTGGCCGTGCCGTTCCCTCGCTGTTCCATTTTCCTCCTCTTGGTACTTAACTAGTACCCTACCCAGTCCAGTCCAGTCCAGTCCAGTCCAGTCCCTCCTGCTAGGTACCTAGGTACTCGAGTGTACCCGACTCGACTCACACTCACACTACCCAGCCCTCACTCCCCTGGCACTCGCCCCAGGAAGCGCCCGCCCGCCGCTTGGGTGCGGAAAGAGAAACGCTAGGGCTTCCGTTAGGCGTGGCTTGGCTGGGCACATCTCGCATCTCGCCAGCCCAGGTATACCTGTCGGGCGAACCGCTGGCCGCGGCCTGCCGCTCCCATCCCCCTCTCGCCGGGTGCGGTAAGCCAGTCTTGGACGGAGAGTACTTTACTGGGCGCTCACACATCAAGTAATCAAGAGACCAAAGCACACTGATCCATTGATCTCTGGCTGGGCCTGCCTGTCTCGTTCTTATCCTGTTCCCAGCTCGGGCTAGCATTAGCGCGATACCTCTGGCTCTGGGCCTATCTCTGATCCCCAAGCACCCGCCGCCGCCGCCACGCCGCCCAAGAGGAAAGCAGGGAAAAAAGAGAGACAGAGAGACCCAAGCAATAAAACAAAAAAAAAGAGGTCCCGAGGAAAGAAAGCCGCGCGCACGCGAATCGATCAAAAAAGGCAACAACCGTCGTTCCGCTTCTTCGCTTCCCCCACCCACCGCACCGCTGGCTTTCCGGCCCCCATCTCCAAATATTCCCTTGGACTCTTTTTTTTTTCTTTCTAGGGCCTGCCCGCTCGATTCATTCCTTGTCTGGATTGATATTTCGGCTCACCCTCGTCCCCGTTGACGAGCAGCTAAGGCATCCTAGGCCATCCCCCCCCTCCCCCAGCTTGTCTCCATTCTGAACCGAGCATTCCAGACGGGACTTTCCTGCTGGGCTTGTGCGAGGAGGAAATCCCCAAGAAGGAGCAAAGCGACACAAACGCAGAAAAGACAAGTCTTGGCGCCTGGACTATCGATCTCGTCAACAACAATAGCTCGATAAAGGACTACGGAGTAGATAGCCGCCCGGAGCGAGAAAAGCAAGACTAGCTATCTTGTTCTTGTTTCGTCATTGCCTGCCGCTCGGGCGTCTTCCTCTCCTTTGCCTCGAGCCCACACCAACAGAGCCGCTTTGGCCCAGGGCGTGTGCGTCCCTTGTATTGCGTCGCCTCGTCTGGCTGGCTCTTCAGCAGGAGCGGCAGAATACCAAATATCGACGTTTCCGTGGCCGTGGTCTCACCCAGGGAAATAAAAACCCACCCGGCGGCCAACCAGAGCAGCAAACCCCAGCCCTTCTCTACTACCCCCTTCGGCAGGGCATAAATCGGTCCATTGGGGCTCGGCTGTTGCTCTCGTCTGTCTCTTCTACTCAAGTCGCAGCAGCCTGTTAATGTGTCTCTGACGTGTCATCGCTTCGGGTCACCCATCCTGTCTCGGACGCAATTTCACGCCCAAAGCAGCAAGTCTGACATACATAGGCGCGAGATCGCCCATCTGCCGCACCCCTGCGACCCTCTTTCCACCCTCCCGACGACTCTGTTCTTTTTTCTCGGCCCAGAAACCGCGACGGCGCGCGCGCGCAGAGCAACGAACACCAGACATCAGCGTCCCGTCCGTCTGCTTGCACCCAGATCCCGATCCGTTCCCCGCCCGTTGAGGCGCCGCACCGCTGCGCGAAGTGCGCGTCCGTCGTTCCTGTCTAGGCTTTGCTGGCGTCAGCGCCAGTGACAAAAAGTCGACGAAGAAGAGAGGCTCAAAGTACCTTAGCTTTGGATCCCGGCCAACTCTTTTAGTTAGCCTAGCCTGCTCGGATTCGGCGCCTACCACATCTCCACTCGAGCTGACAAGACGCACAAGTCCCAGAGTTCATCTACGTATCTCCGCGCCCCCGGAGTTCGTTCTGGCACCGTTTCGTCTCGCCGTCCTTCCCGCAACTAGTCTAGTGCGCGCTGCGTTTTGCATACCTACTGCACCCTGGCGGCAGACGAGACGACCCATCGACTGTCGCTCTGCACCAGACGCACATACGCATCCATTTCCCATAACCCATACCCATACCCGTTCCCCGCCATCGTATCCAGTCACTAGGGTCAATTGCCATTCGAACCAACCGAATAACCTGCAGGGTTGATCACACCTTTGGGACACTCGCACCACACTGCCTGCACACTTTACCTACCCTCTCGCGATCCGCGCTGAGGCGACAAGCCGCCTGCTCTGCTTATTATTCAGGGAAACCCCGCAGGGCACCGCCGCATCTTTTTTTTTTTCTCTGGGTTGCGCAATCCCGTATTACTTGTCTTTTTTTCCTTGAGGCCTCGCTCTCTTTTGACCCATTCTTTTGTTCTCGACACTTTTTTGTCTCGAGCAACGTCCCCGGCTCTCGGTTTCCCGACTGGAACTTCGACGACGACTCGACCGACTAGAGCTACTCGGCACCCATCGTTCCTCGCCAGCGGGGAGCTGTGAATTTGTGTGTGTGTGTGAAAGGCATAAGCGGCCAAGTGAGACCGACCGAGTTCGGCGCGAAGCACCTTCGCTCGATTTCTTGTCCATCTGGCCCTCAGCCGCACCCACTTTGGTGCCCATTCACTCAATCCGAGGTGAACCGATCTATCGATCTATCGTGCACGTTTACGCGCGGGTCTTCCAGGGCCCCGTATTCTGCTGCCTACTTAGCTCACGGAGTGGCATCTCCGGACCCTGTCCCATTCACCACGGGACAGCCTTGTTCTGTGCTCCCAGAATTGCGTCTTTTCTGGCACCTTTTCGTCCCAGCTTGAGCAATTGACTTGCCCGGAGCCTAATAACCGCATCCTGAGCCATCACTCGTAGCGTGGATGAAGATGGCGGCGTTCACAGCCCTTAACGGGGGCTCACCAAAGTCGGCTACTACGGAAGGCCTCAACGGTGGCCTGAGCACGATACGGAGGGAGTCTGAGGAGCACACTGGCCGACCCGGCCAGATTTCAGAACCCAGGACGGCCGCATCAACAGCCGATCCCTCACCCACACAGCCCGAGCGTCCTGGGAGCTGGTCCGGCCCTTCACTGGATAGGCCCGCGTATCAACCGGCGCCAGCTTACTCAGATAACGAAAGCACGCATAAGCGCAAGCGATCAGACTCTATGGAACCCAGGAGAGGAGAGTACGACCTGTCGAGGCACGACAGGCCGGTGGAAGAATCGGACCCCTCACGGCCCCGATCACCGTCCCGAGATGCTTACACGCCGCAGAGGGACTACCGCCCGTACGGCGACGAGCACCGGGATCACGGCGACTCGTGGTACAGCCAGAGCAGAGCGGACGAGCGCAGCTCCAATTACGAGCCGCAGTCGGCGGCGCCCAACTCTGCAAACACGGACGAGCAGATCGAGACGCTGAGGAGGGCGACCGGCCAGATGGATCAGGACTACCCGCAGACGAGCCCCGACGGCGACGACCGCTCGGTCATCTACGGCGGACAGTACACGCCCGAGCAGCGGAGGGACGGCGTGATGCAGTCGGATCCCAAGAAGCGGAAGCGTAACTTTAGCAACCGGACCAAGACTGGCTGCCTCACCTGCAGGAAGCGCAAGAAGAAGTGCGATGAGACCAAGCCCGAGTGTGAGTGCATGGGAAGCAAGGGAACGTCCAAAAGAAAAGCAATAGTGTACTGATCATCCTCCAGGCTCGAACTGCGTCCGTGGCGGTTTTGTTTGCGCCGGCTACCCGCCACAGCGCGGCACCTGGCCCAAGCCGGAAGCCAAGACGGCGACCATCCAGATCGAGTCCAAGGATCCGACGTACATCCCGCCCGGTGCCTATGGCATGCCGCAGTCCATACCTATCACCATCATCCCGCACCAGCAGAAGCGCGAGCCTCTGCCCACCTACCGGGGCCAGCCGCTCCGGATCGAGCCTCCGCAAGGCCGCCCGCTGCAGACGGACGACGACAGGCCCACGGCATCCACACTACCGAGCGCGTCCATCGCCAGCCCTGACAACAAGCTCTCGGCATTGTCGGCGTATACCAACACGGCCAACATCTTCCCCACGCCCGTCAGCGCGGCCGCGCCCACGCCGTTCCCGGATCGCACGCCCAAGGAGTATCAGCGTGTTCCCCCACTCCACGACCTCAGCAGAACCGAGCCCGACCTGCCGGCGCACGGCACCACACTTCCGCAGATCAACATCCTGCACGCGACGAGGACGAACAGCCCTATCACGTCACAGACGAGCGGCGTGCAGGCGACGGCGCAGCTGGCCCTCTCCCACACGCCGCAGTATCCATCCGGTGGCAGGCAGCGGAGGGAAAAGGAAGAGATGATCTCGGGCCGCCAGTACTACCCCTTCGACAAGGAGCTGGTGCTGGAGCGGGAGCGCTGCAGCGCCGCCTGCTGGCGGTTCAACAACGCGACCAACCCCAACAACGGCGTGTCCCCCGGCGAGCGGGCGCGCCTCTTCCGCGACATCCTGCAGCCGCGCGAGGGCGTGCAGATCTCGCCGACCATGACGTCGCCCGTGACGCACACGGGCCGCATCGGCAGCGACGTGGTCGTCGAGGCGCCCTTTGTGTGCGACTACGGGTACAACATCAACATTGGCAAGAACGTGCTCATCGGGCGCAACTGCACCATCATCGACCCCTGCGAGGTGAGCATCGGCGACAACGTCGTCATCGGGCCCAACGTGTGCATCTACACGGCGACGATGCCGACCGACTACCGCCGCCGGCAGGGCAGCCGGGGCGCGCAGTTTGGCAAGCCCGTCGTCATCGAGGAGGACGTCTTCATCGGCGCCAACGTGGTCATCTTGCCTGGCGTCAAGATTGGGAGGGGCACGACTGTCGGGGCTGGGTCTCTGGTTACGAAGGTACGTTTTTCTTCTTTTTGGTTTTCTTCTTGTGAGGGGTGCTTTAGAGGAATGATGGGTTGAACGAACGATGGCTGACTTGTTGTGTTTCTGTGTGCAGGACCTTGCCAAGTACTGCGTCTGCTACGGCAGCCCGGCCGAGGTCCGGAGGGGTCTGGCCTCTGTCTGATGAAGTGTGTGTGTGTGTGTGGACGGATGGATGGGGGATGTATCGAATTTCTTCTGGCTGACGATATCCGATGATGAGTGATGATACTACGGACTCTGTGTGTGTGTGTGTTCTCTTTTGTTTTTAACCCCCAAGATTCAAAAGAACGGGTTTTGGGGCGTTTGAAAGTTGTTTTTGTTTCTTTCAGTGGGCGATGCTGTGGGTTTTTTTCTGTCTGTTTCATTATTGAACATGATACCCTATATTTTATTAGTGTGTGCAGCCTTCCTTGTCTCTTTTTTTTTTGACCTCGCTAGGGTGGGATTCTACCAAAAAGGGGGCTCTTGTCATGGGAGCGTGCGAGAGAGAGCGAGAAAAGGGGCAGGGGGATGGGATGGGGGAGATTTATCCGAGTAATCAAAAGTCGGCCTGGGTGTTGGGGCTGCTTGGACGGAGGGAGAGAAAAAAAAGGAGACATGAAAGCTCTGGAAGCTTTGGAAGCTGAGAGGAAGGCTTTGGCTTGTTTCGGGGGGGGGGGGGCATTTGGTATTCTCGTTTTTATTTCCTCTTATCTGTGTGTTGTGGGTTGGTTTCTCATGCTCGCTGGAAGGGTTTTCTCTGTCTGTGTCTACTCCCATACCATACCTGAATACCTACTACCTTGCTATGTGCAATAGTTGTATCTATCGTCGTCCCCCCTCTACTACCGCTGTGTTCCAGTACATTTGTCTCCATTTGCTGCTTTCTTGTGCCTTGTGTGTGTGTCGGACTGTCACTGGGAGAGGGAGGTTTCGGCTTGGTTGGGGAGTTTTCCGGGTAGTGACTGAGTGAGTGGGCTTGTTGATCATGGTTCTTTATGGTTCTTCATCTCGGAGGGCGAGGGGGGTTTGTGTAGATACTTTGGTATGGAGGTGTTTGAGGGTCAAGAGCTGGACTTATTTCCAGGTATCCCAATGGGCATATGGCATGGAAAGACTGAATGTCGATTGAATTTTATATGGGAAATAAGGGTTAAGAGAAAGAGAACAAAGCTTGGAGCGTGCGTATTGCAATGTATGTCCAGCCATGGTTTGAAATCCCCACGATATGGTTGTGAAATGTAATGCCTGGTGTTTCTACGATGGAAGGGCCAGTGGTGCTGTCCCGGTTGCCCATGTGAATCATGCCGAGGTCTTCTACGTGGTCCTTTATGACCTGATTGTCACTGCCGTTCAGATATGGTACGCAACGCAACGCACATACATAACACATCGAGTTGCCAGTATTCACCCAGCCCATTGTTTTCGAAGACTCGAGACTGCCCGTTCCGTTCTGTTGACAATTGTCACGTCAGAGAACCGGTGCCTGTTGATCGACCAGCATGCCAACAATTGTGAAAGGAAGCAGCTTCTCTCATCGATGTATGCATTCATCGCCAAGATCTGATCACCTTGGACACTCTGATGCAAATGCCAACAAGAGACCACCACCGCCTTGCCATCGGGAGGAGCAGGTCGAGGTCACCACATCAAGAGCGAGGAAGGAGGGATGACTTGGCATGTCACTAATGCCTGGAATAACCCTCGCTTGGACAGCAATCAGAATGGTAGAGAAGGCGGGATTAGCTGGAATTTTTGTTTCTCGTATTTGCCTCCTCGGATCGCAAACCCTACTTGTACAGCTCCTCCGCGTCGCAACCTGCGTGCGGGGCGTTTCTCTCTGGAAAACGATCGAGTATGTACATATGCCAAAACAAAGGAAAAAGAGATCACCTCGATGCACCGTCACAGTCCGCCCCCTTGTGCTCCTCCATCTCTTGCGTCGACCCACCACCCATCAGGCACACGACCAAAGGTTGCCGTTCCGACACAAAGAGACACGGTCCTTAAAAATCGTATCCTCTGCGCCACCGCCTTGTAGTCCAAGTCTTTCTGGGAAGAGCAGAATGACGCAAGCGGCAATAGCAGCAGCCTCCATCTACTTGCGGTACCACATCCTCGTGATCTTGGTATTCCGCATCTTGCGCTGCAGCTGGAAGATGCCGTACATGAGGGCCTCGCTGGTGGGCGGGCAGCCGGGGACGTAGACGTCGACGGGGACGATGCGGTCGCAGCCGCGGACGACGCTGTAGCTGTAGTGGTAGTAGCCGCCGCCGTTGGCGCACGAGCCCATCGAGATGACCCAGCGCGGCTCGGGCATCTGGTCGTAGACCTGGCGCAGGGCGGGGGCCATCTTGTTGGTCAGGGTGCCGGCGACGATCATGACGTCCGACTGCCGCGGCGAGGCGCGGAAGATGATGCCGAGGCGGTCCTGGTCGTAGCGCGGGGTGGACAGGTGCATCATCTCGACGGCGCAGCAGGCGAGGCCGAAGGTCATGGGCCAGAGCGACGACTGGCGGGCCCAGTTGGCCATGATGTCGAGCGTCGTCAGGGCGTACTGGACGACGCCCTTGGTGGGCTCCTGGCTGGCGAGGGGCACCTCCTTGCGCTCGCGGCGGGCGAGGCCCGTGTGGTCGTTGGAGCCGCCGACGACGGCGGCGTGGCCGGCGTAGGGCTTCCGTGATGAGGAGGAGAGGGCGGCGGTGGCGGTTCGGAAGGGGAGGAGGGCGGTGGTCGGCTTGGCTGTACCGGTCAGACTGTCAGTACATGCGTGATGTCGATTGATGCCCATCCATCCTGGGGCCAATTGGGGAAGGGGGCGCGGTGGTGGGCTTCAAAACAAACCTCTCAAGGCGGCCGAGGCCGTCGTGCGCAGAGACGCCGACATGGCTGCTGTGTGTGTGTGTGCGCTGGACCGGAGCCGAATCTCGTGTGGAGGGTCGATTGCAGAGACGAGACTGATGGCAAGCAACCCGTTGGTCGTCCAGAGAAGAGGCGAGGCTGTTCCGAGAGATTGGAAAGGTCAAAGGAAAGCCACCCCACGGATTGACGTTGCGGTTTCGATCAGATTGCCGGCTTTTTCGCCTCCCGGATGGGTGAAAAAGGGCGCTAGCCGGCTGCACTGGCTCGAGGGAAGCCAGCAGAGCTCCAATGCTCTCGCTAATGCCCAATTGCGCGCTGCTCATTGGCCGCGAGGGCGGGCGCCGTGTGGGTCGGAATGCGCGCCTTTGGTTTTTCCGGCCAGCTGTCAGCGTCAACGACTTTCGATGTATCATTTGATGTCAACTCTGATCAAGTTGATCATGGAATTGATGATGCTGGACATCAATTGCTGTATGGGTATTGGAGTAAGGATGCTAATGCTTGGCGCTTGATCGTTGTAGCCCATCGCTTTTGTCTCTGCACCAAAAGTCAACATTCTGGAGGCAGATAGGTCCATCGGTGCCCTGATTGTGTTGATGTCACTCGTTGGACATTTGAAGTGTCTGATACATCATTGATTCGTGCTTGCCATTGATCACCTGTACTGGTGCCTTCTTTCCTTAAAGATATAGAGCTTGAGGAACCAATCCATTGCTTCTTCCATCCATCATGCGTCGCCTCAAGTAGCGAGAAAGCAGCCTGGTCATCACCATCTTCCATATTTCATCTTGTCTTCCCAACATCAACATCGCCATCGGCATCACTCGCTGCATCTCTCGATCTACACGGCTCTTCAGCTTCCCTCACTAGGTATCCTGGAACCGACAAGTCTTGTTATCCCACAACTGCTTTCCCGGCTTCAGATTTCAGACTGCGCTGCCATGTCCTCCCTCCCAATCCCTCACACCGACAGGGGCCAACCTCTGGAGGGCCGCACTGCCTCCATGTCCGCCCGAAATGGGACCTCTGCGTGGACCAAAATCCAAGGCCAAGTCGGGCAGGAAGACCAGGGCGAAATCGTCTAGAATGACGTTTCCTCCGCCTCATCGACCTGGTCAGAGGCTCGTCTCATGACGACCGGGAAGCCAAGACAGTGGTCCCGATTTGCTTGCCCATTCCACGTCTTCAAACCCTATATTTATCGCTCCTGTGAGCAAGCGAGCTTCGCTAGCATGTGGTCCCTCGTTCAGCATTTCAAGGCCGCCCATCGGATGCCCTGCCGCTGTCTCCGCTGTGACAGTGACCTCACCATCACGGAAACCCCTGACTACCTCCAGTCTTTCCACTGGTTCGAGTGCAGTGGCAATGGATGCTCCTTCCGTTTCTTGCGCGGCCTGACGCCCGCTCAGATAGACGAACTAGTCGGCCGACAACACAAGCCCCTCGACGCGTCAATGTGGTGGTTTCTCAACCAGCTCTTGTTTCCGCAGAAAAGCTTTAGACCACGAGGCTCTCCGTTCCATCTCGCCCAAGGCGGCCACCGCTGGGGCCGCCTGTTCGGCACCGGCCCCTCCACGGGTGAATATTCCGGAGCTGCCTCGTATGCCGACTTCATTGCCGTCCATGGACTCCGCTTCCTCGAGGCCGCCGAAGAGCGCTTCCGAGAAGAGACGGCCTACGCGGACATCGAATCGTTGCAGCCGTTTGCAAATCGAGTCACGATTGTCGAAATGGTGCATATGTACCTCGCCGACAGGATTGCCCGGCAAGGCTGGTTCGACTCCCCGGCCATGAGACTGCAAAAGACAACCCAAGCACAGCGAGCCGATGCGTTGCAGGCGATTATCAAAACCTTGGCCCTGCACGAGCACACGCCGCAGAAGGCACAAGCCTGCAGGCAGCTATGGCCTCTTGTCAACGTGTCTGTCGAAACTCTCCCAAAGATATGGCTCCGGTTAAACGAATCTCCGGGTGCCTTGATCGGTAAGTCAGTCGAGCCGAGCCGGCAAACCCTTTCTTCGTCGCATTTTGTGGACTGGCCCTTTTCCTCTCCCGCGAAATATATACTGATCTTGTCCAACCCTAGAGCGCCTACACCAAGCAGATGATGACCAGCCACCAAACCAGCATGCATCGGAACGGGGTGCGTGGCCGCCGTTGCAGTCTCGTACAGACGCCCACTCCCGACCTCAAGCTAGGGCTTTGGGGCCTGGCGGCCCATCTACCATGGGTGCTCCCATGATCGGCGACCATTTTGCGGCACACAGCCCCCGATCTCAAACCCAGACCCCAACTTGGACCCCTGGCGGGCGCCTCCCCCTTGGATCTGTCAGTGCTCCCATGTCCGGCGGCGTAGTTGATGCACGCCCCCAACCTCAAGCCAGGGATCGGTCGCCTGGCCACTCCGAACCTGTCGGTACTCCGCTGTCCAGCCACGAGGGTCCTGCCCAGGCCCAGGAGCTCATGGAACAGCTCTCGCTGTGGGACACGATGGACGCGGAGGAAGAACCTCAGGGGCGAGTAGTGGATAGTAGAGGCGCCGAGTCTCCTTTTGGAGACCGATCAGAACGGGAATGAGGGGCTCGTCTTTCTTGGAATGAGGGGCAAGAAAGACGAGCAAGCCCCTCATTCCAAGAAAGACGAGCAAGGTGAGAGATCCCAGGATACCGCGCAAAGAAGCGTGCTTCTGAAAGTTTGATTCCATTTCATAGCTATTCTAGCAGCGTATTACTTAGTTCCATTGAAGTCATAGACAGCGAGATTCATCGATGCCCTCCTGCGAGGCAGATATCATCTTGACTGCTCATCTCATTTCGCCTCATCCTTGAAGGCTAGCAGCAGCAGTCATCAGGTACAAAGGTTTTTTTGTAGTACAAGCCATGAATACATACATGGCAGTCGCTCGTGTCCGTAATTAGACGACTCTCTAATTCATCATCGTGGTCACATTTGAAGCTGTACCGAGCATGCGTTGCTGGGGCGAGTCCCGACACACCTCAGGCGCGTCCCCTACGACCGCGACCACGGCTGCCTCGCTTCGATACGCCTCCTCTGGAGCCACCACCACCACCACCACCACCACCACCACCACCTCCGCCTCCACCTCGTCCACGCCCAGAGCTGCCACCACCGCGGGAGTTGTAATCGTTCTGAGGCGGCGGCCGGAACGAGTAGGCGCCCATGCGCACGCCCTGCGGCGGACGGGGGGGCAACGAGTTCGCTCCCGAGCCCTGGCCGCCGCTGCCGGAATTACCACCACCACCACCACCACCTCCGCGCCGTCCACCTCCGCCGCCACCGCCGCCCTGGTAGAAGTCTGAGAAGCGGATGTTACCCGATCCCCCGGCAGCGCTTCCACCACGACCGCCGGCGCCACCGCCGCGCGCAGGCCGCTTGCTGTGGTTCAGGAAGGACGCGACGTCGTCATCGTCGTCGTCGTCGTCCTCTGTGAAGTGGATGTGCGTGCGGGGCACGATGCTGCGGCCGGGGATGTTGGGCAGGGCGATGGGGTCCGTGGCCTGCGGGACGGGAGGCGCGCCGGGCGGCAGGGGCGGCTGCCAGGCGATGGGCTGGTCGCCCGACGCGGCGTCGACGTAGCGCGCCTGTGCGGCGGCGGACCAGACGTCCTCGTCGGCGATAAGGTAGGTCCGGCCCGAGGGGTGGCGGCCGCGGTTGTCCGGGCAGTCGGCGCCAAAGTGGCCCTCGCCGCCGCAGCAGTAGCAGTACGCCGGGATGGACTGCACCTTCTTGCACGCGGCGGCGGCGGAGAAGTAGGTGCGCCAGACGAGCGGGCAGGCCGACTCGCCGTGGGTGCGCGACGCGCAGTACGCGCACTCGGCCTCCGAGGCCGGCTGCTTGAGCTTCTCCTTGCAGGTTGCCTTAGCGTGCCCGAGCTGTCGGCACTTTTCGCATCGCTGGCGCTCCGGGCATTGGAAGCGCGTGTGCGACTTGGACGAGCAGAAGACGCACTCCGGGCTCGCGTGCGGGCAGTCGTTAGCGCGGTGGTCGCTCGAGGCGTGGCAGAAGACGCAAAAGTCCGACTTCTCGGGGACGCCGGGGAAGTAGCGCTTCAGGTCGGCGACCTCGTCGTCGCGCGAGAGCTGGTAGTGCACCGTGCCGATCTCGTCGCGGAGGTCCATGATGATATCACCGTTGGGGGCGGCCGTGGCAGCGGTGGGCATGGCTGCGACCTGGGATGGTGCGGGGCCGTCGTCTTTGCGCTTGACCTGCGCTCTGGCGGGTGCATCGTCGAGGAGGGAAGCCCATTCGCTTGCGCTGGGCTCGTCCTTTACTACTGTTGATGCTGAGGATGTTGTTTGCTTCGCGGACTGTTGGGGAGCATCTGTGGCACGCGCTTCTTGTTTGATTTCTTTGACATCCTGCTTCGTAGCCGCTTGGTCGTTGGATGTACCCGGCGCAGTAGGCTTCTTGCCGGCCTTAATATCTTCCTGGATCTTCTGCGCAATGGCTTCGAGCATTCCCTTCTTCTCGGCTGCGATAATCACATTTCTGCCCTCAATCTGCTGGTCCATGGGTAGCTTTTCCTTGAAGGTTTCAAAGTAGTTTCGAAGGGCCTTGAGCAGGATGGTAGCATTGACATGCGATGCGTGCCGGGCGTTGCGGCTGTCGGCGCACAAATCGTAGCACCACGTCTCGATCATGGCGTTCCAGGACGTGCCTTTACCTCCACTCGTATCGACGAAGTCGGGAAGCCGCCATTTGGTTTTCTTCTTCTGGTATACGAGGGGGGTCTTGCGCTTAGCAGCAGCAGCAGCGAGTACTGCAGCGGCTGCTGCTGTGGCAGGTGAGATCTGGTCGCCGATCAAGATGCTCTGTTCATTCTCATCCGAGTCCTGGCCCACCTTCTTCTCCTGCATGACCTTTTTCTCCTGGCTGACCTTCTTCTCCTGGCGCTGTTCCTTTGGTCGGTCAACGATCCGCTGGGGCTGCGTGTTGGTACCAGAGCGCAGGATCGGCATGTTGGAGTCGTTGCTGCCTGCCGTTGCCTTGGGTGGATTCGATAATGCTCCGGACTTTGTTTCGGAAGTCGAGGACGCGCCTTCTTGGGATCCAGAACTACTTGGGGAGGAAGAGGTTCTGGAGGTGTTTTGTTGAGTGGATTTTGAAAGGTTTGTGGCTGCAGTGTCGGGTTTTTTCGAGGGCGCAGCTGCCTTGTTTGTGGAGGAAGCGCCGCCAAAGGAGGTGCGAAGGGCGCTGCCTTTGTTTACTGCGCTGTTCCAACCCACTGAAGCCTGTTCTGGCAGGCCCTGCTGCTGCTGCTGTTGCTTTTGGCTCAAACCCTCCTCATCCACCTCGCCCTCTGATATATCATCGCCATCATCATCACCGGTACCCTCACTGCCCTCATCGCCGCTTTCTGAGCTTGTGGCGCTTACTTCACCCTCCTCTGCGCTCGCACTCTCGACCTCAGACGCTGCATCCTCTGTTCTCTGCCGCTTCTGCGGTCGGCTAGGCGACTCGTCTTCTGCATCGCTCTCAGATGCCTCTCCTTCCTCAACGGAGCCCGAGTCCTCATCGCGTGGCCTCTTTTGTGCCGATGACGAAAGGGGTGTCTCTGATATTTCCCCTGACTCTGACTGCTCAGCCCGATCTGGTGATAGAGACCTGGAAGCCGACCGAGGCTGCCCAGACTCATCCGTGTCTTGAAGATGCCCTACAGGCAACCATTCCGGCGATGGTTGTCCAGACATGACAGTCGACTCTCATGCAAGGCCCTGCCCCTTTCGAGAGTCTCTTTGCCTATCCACCCCTTGCGTGCCAGATAAGGCCCAAAACAGCAATACCAAGACCTCAAAATTCGCAGGCCTGTGTATCGATACTGCAAGAGCCTCAGTCTGAATAGTCCTCCGCGAAAGCCCTCTTGTTTGACGCGTTGTTCAAAAAAGAGTTGACCGTAGTCCCGGGATGTTATTGAGTCTTGACAAACAGCTTGTGTTGTGTCATTGAAGCCTCAGAGAGCAAAGCAACAGGATATCCAAGACCAAGCAGCTCAGATTCTCGAGCCGTGTTTGAAAGCCCTTTTTTGGCGACTCAACTCATCAGTGTCGTCTTCTTTGTCGGCGGATGAAGTTATCATCGCAAATGAATTTTTGAGATTGGGCATGGCTATCTTATCGCCGATCAGCGTATCAGACAGCATTGAAATTCAGGTGGGTATTTGGCTTTCGCATAACTAACAGCAACGGCGTCAGGCTGCCAAGGTTGGTAGAGGAGTCATGGTGCGCCAGGCACTCAACAGTCTTCATTAATGAATGTCGGGAGTGAGAGTCTGAATAGAGTTGTGAGTTCCAATAGAAAGGAGCCAAGATGCCAGGCAAGGACTCGATCTGATGCTGATGATGCGAGTGCTTGGGGTCTGTGTTGCTGTTGAGAGATTGAGATGGGTATCGGGGTACGTGAAATTAGACTGCCTATTTGCGCAGATTCAAGTACTCGGCTAACAGTGAGGTTACGAAGTTCTGTAATAATGGCCAGACCACTGTTGGCCCGAGCTCCCTTCACTGATCTTTCTTTCTCCAGCTGGCGGTGCCCGCGGGCCTGGCACGTCCCCACCACACTGGACCCAGCTACGCGTACTCACTCCACCGTGGTCGGCGTGGCTCATGACCTCCGCTACATGTACTTCGTAAAAGCCCATTACAGAATGGCAGGGGTCCTGGAGATGTGTCCAGATCCATCATCGACCTCAAAGGGGGAGGAGACCACAATCTCGGCTCCTCCCAGAAAAGGGAACAGGGCCAGGCTAGACCAAAGCGAGTGTACCTTCATGTGCACACATACAAGGATAAGTGAGTATGTAAAGTCGGTTTCTCTTCGCAGCACTGTCTGTCTCGGTCGATATGAGGGAGACAAACGCATACAACACAAAGCACATGTCAATCTTTGTGGGAATAGTGACCAATTCTGACTCAAGCCGACAGGTTTGCAGGACAAACACGAGTGGCATTGATCAATCACTTTAGGAAGAGTTATACATAGCAGGAACCAGTTCTGGTCGGTTAGTCCTCCCCACCGCACATCGGGTTTAGGACTGCCCAGGTCATGTTAGGGGGCGTTTAGCCACTCTGTTAGGGGCCGCGCAGCGCCCACGCTTGCCTGTGTATCCACCCTGACAGGGCTATTTCCAGGCTGGCTTGTCTCGTCCCAGCACTTCCGCGACGCCTCGGCGGGCTGGCTGCACCCTTGAGATTTGTTGTCTCATCTCTTCATCCACCCATTCCAGCAGACTCTCTCTTCCTTCTGAGGACAACATATTCTCCCCCCTCCCCACCAACGAGCTGCGGCTTCAGTCATCCCCCCCCCCAGCTTCCAGCTCAACACAATCCTTGGACCAGTAGTCATTCACTGCATCATCTTTGCTGGATCATTTGATTCTTCAACCTCACTTTTCTCCCACGTGAGTAGTCTGCCCGTCGCCAAAATCTTCTCCTTTCCCCCTTTCCCTTCGCAATTCCTGTGACATCATCACCACCACGAGCGAGCCGGCATCAGTGCGCGCGTGTGTGCACGAGACCTCCTTTTTCTTCCTTCTCCCGCCCCGTCTCAGTAGGGAGCAGCAAACAGAACACACGCTCCGACCCTTCCGACCGACACCCGAGCAATACCGTCAAGCTGTCTCCCATCCTCATCCCCCGAACCGTCTCTTACGACGCCGGCACCGATCCGCCGCGCCGTCGTGGGAGCATCTACCGCCAGCCGACCATGCCCGAGACCGATAAGGGAAGCCGGAGGAGGAGATCTAGCAGCATCCTCCAGGTCTACCAAGAGCCTCCCGAGCCTCTCGAGCGCCTCAGCGACCAGGGCGCTCTCCCCAACGGCAATGCCGAGTGGGTAAACGCCAAAGGTAAGCAAGCACACATATTTATACGCCAAATCCTTAACCCCCTCCGAACTCCGATCCCCGGCGGCGTTCCCTATTCTCGCTCGAGTGCCCCAAGGCTGCACGGCCTTGGCGTGCACCGATCCCAAGTCCAGATTGCAGCCTTGAGATGCACTCTAGGTCTCGATCTGTTGCGGGCCCATGTTGCGAGACCTCTGGATGCGAGCCTTCCGGCCTTTCCGCAGCTCTGCTTAGCTCCGTGTATTTCTCAATCCGAGTGACTAGATGCTGACATTTGCATGTCTCCAACACAGGCGCGTGGGCAGTCCACTTTGTCGTCATCTGCCTGCTCAAGATCCTCTTCGACATTGTCCCGGGCATGTCCCAGGAGACATCATGGACCCTGACCAATGTTTCGTACATGTTTGGGTCCTACCTCATGTTCCACTATGTCCGCGGCGTACCCTTCGAGTTCAACTCTGGAGCCTATGACAACCTCAACATGTGGGAGCAGATCGACGATGGCGCTCAGTACACCCCGGCCAAGAAGTTTCTGACCAGCGTCCCCATCGTGCTCTTCTTGCTCAGCACCCACTACACCCACTACGACCTCACATACTTCACCATCAACTTCCTCGCCGTCTTGGCCGTGGTTATACCCAAGCTTCCATGGGTAAGTTGGAAAAACATCTCCAAACCAGCTGCCTCACTAACAATGCACCTTGCAGAGCCACCGAATGCGTGTTGGCCTGTTTTCGGGCATACCCGAGGAGTAGGATCCTGACCGGACGTGATGGGCAAAGTGGCGGATGCATACGGTTCATGGTGTGTAGGCGTTATAGCGGAAAGCCTCCGAGACTTGTGTGGCCTAGGGCAAAGAAAAGAGAGGGGAAGCCAACCAGCGAGCGCGTATCGCACAACAAACGAGCAGCATATGAGAGAATAACGCGCCGAATCGATGATTGCTTGACACCACTTTTGAGATGCAGAAATGCCCCAGACGTGATTTGGACACCTTGATGCACCCTTCACCCCGACGGAGGGTATCCGGCTTTGCAATTGGGGAAAAGAACCAGCCCTCGGCCGGACTGGCCAGCCGGGCACCTGCAACATGTGGTGCACCACTTCCATCACCGGGCTGGTTCGTGTCTCCCCACACCCGCTCGACTTTTACGAGAGCCGACTGCCTGACCAGATGAGCGAGTTGCGTTGTTTATGTGGAATTGTCGATGTCTGGTACTGATGGGTCCTCTATTTTTCAACCACCCCCTTCTGCCCAGGCAATGGCCGGGAGATTTTGAGGAATTGTCCCCGTTGCCGCCTCGACTGTCAACATCGGGTCTGGCTCTAGAGAGCCGGTGGCTTCATCGTGCCAAGTTGGACCATGCTCTGTTCCGCGGACCTGGGTCATGACCATGCATTGTCGCAGCCTGCGTTCAATAACATGTCCGTGTCTCCGGTGCGCCAAGGGTCGATTGTGCCGAGCGTGTTCAATGCAGCCATTCATAGTTCATAACACAACAGCTCATGGAACGTACTAGAGATGGCGCAACCAAGAAGGGATTCGGAGCGAGGCAACGAGTGCTGGCAGTGTGTATAAGAGAAGCGTCCAAGCACCATTTCTGTCCTTCCCGGCCGAAGCTTACTTCTCTCTTCTTTGTGTTCAGCTTCCTTGACACCATCCTCTCTTTCTCCTATCTGCTTCAGATACTTTTCTAGAGGACGTTGTCACCCCTTGCACCTTGCTTGACTGTTACTTAGTCACGATGAGGCCCATCCTGCTGACAGCTGCCCTCCTGGCAGTTGCCAACGCCAATCCAGCTCCTAGTCTTACCTTCAAGGCCCTGACCGGCCGTGACGTCGAGGCCAAGCCGAACGAGGCTGAGCAGCCTCCTCAGGGTGTCCCCTTCGCCGCCGGCGCTGAGAACCAGACTGGCGAGCAGGAGGGGTCATGCCCCTTTGCCGCCGAGGGTGAGGCAGGCGATGGCGTCAGGCCGGGCTGCGACCCCAACGGCCGGCAATACATCCCCATCCCCTTCCTCGACATGTAAGCCTACCCATCCAGCCCCAATAGCTTCTTGCCAGTACTTGTGATCGGAGTTAGCAATCGACTAACACGTCTCCTCTCCCGACAGCAACCCCAGCGGCAAGAGGTGCAGTGACAAGGAGTACTGCAAGCCCAAGCGTCGTTGCGGCGAGCACGACCACGAGTGCCGCCGTGACTGTGAGTGCAAGAAGAAGGACCACGAGTACTTCGTCCACCACTATCACCATCACCACCACGACCACGGCGAGCACCGCCACAGGCACGATCACGGTGAGCACCGTCACGTCCATGACCACGGCGAGCACCACCATCGCCACCACTACGACGACCGGCTTCTGGACGACCCCAACCGGTTCCTGAGCCGCGGCGACGAGTGCGACCGGCGCTACATCGTCCTCAAGGGCGACACCTGCTGGGACATCGCCAACCGGCACCAGCTCGGCCTCGACGCCCTGCGCACCTTCAACCCCTTCCTCGACCCGGAGTGCCACATCTACCCTGGCCAGACGCTGTGCCTGTCGGAGCGCCGCCTCGTGCCCGTCCCCGAGGCCGAGCGCGCCGCCCTGGCCGGCGAGGGCCGCCTCGGCCGCACGGAGGAGGAGCGCCGCCGCGAGCGGGACGAGGAGCTCCGCCGCCTCCGCGACGAGGAGGGCGACAGGGACTCTGGCCGTCGCCGCGGCGGCGGCCGTGACCGTGGCGGCGAGCGCGGCCGTGACCGTGACCGCGACTTCCGCGGCTTCGGCGAGGGAGAGGGCGAGGGCCGCAACCGCGACCGGGACCGCGATGACTTCCTGCGCCGCTTCAACGAGCTCAGCGGCAATGACGGCATCGGCGAGGAGCGGGGCCGCGAGCGCCAGGGCCTGCGCGACGAGTTCCTCCGCCGCTACTTTGGCGAGGAGGGCGAGCGTGGCGGCCGTGATGGCCGTGACGGCCGTGACGGCGGCCGTGGCGGTCGCGACGGCGGCGAGGACGAGCGCCGCGGCCGCGAGGAGCTCATCCGCCGCCTGCGCGAGCACTTTGGCCGCGGCGGCCGCGATGGCGAGGGCCGTGAGGACCGCAACCGGGGCCGCGAGGACTTCCTGCGCGAGCTGGAGCGCTACCGCGGGGACGGCGGCGAGGAGCGCTGCCCCGAGCACCACGAGTGCCGCCGCTGCCCCGACGGCGAGGAGTGCCGCTTTCGCCACAATGGTAACCCTTGCCGCGATGGCCACCAGTGCCGCCGCCGTGGCGTGGAGCGCCGTACCGTGGTAAAGCGCGAGGAGGAGGAGAAGCCCCAGGGCCCGCATGGCAACGGCGGCTTCAAGCCGGGCCACGGCCCCGGCAAGGGCGAGAGGATCAAGGTCATCATCCCGCTCAGCCCGAACGGCGAGTTCGCGCCCCCGGAGAGGCAGGGAGGCGCCGGCAACCCGACCGGCATCCGGGCCGACGCCGACCTCGAGGGCTGGAAGGCCAAGGTGCAGGAGATGCTGGGCAAGAAGTGCCCATTTAGCGCCGGTGACGAGGAGCAGGAGTGCCACGCCACCTCGTGCCTCCGCTGCGAGAAGTTCTACGAGGTCCGCCGCGGCGACACGGCCTCGCGCATCTGGCGCCGCTTCGGCATCTCGGGCGAGGAGCTGCGCGAGCTGAACCCCTGGCTCAACGACGACTTTGACCTCTACCCGGGCGAGAAGCTGTGCGTGCGCGGCTGCGGCATCGGCGGCGGCGAGGGCGGCGAGTGCCCCTACAAGCAGAGGTGCAAGCTCCTCCGGGACCACGAGGGCCGCGAGGTCGACGACCCGCGCTGCCCGCTCAACGGCCACACCTGCCAGGAGATCACCGGCGGCGAGGACAGGGAGGACGACGGCGGGCCCAGGATCGACTTTGACCTGCTCGGCGGCGTCAGCGACGGCGAGTGCGCCGGCGCCCCCGGCGAGGAGCCGCGCCCCGGGTGCCCCTTCGGCAACGGCAACGGCTCCGGGCGTCCCCGCGTCCACCATGTGCACCACCGCGGCAAGCGCGCCGAGGGCGAGAGCGACGTCGACTCTGCCGAGGCTACTGCTGCTGCCGAGGACGACAAGCAAGTCGAGGAGACCGACGCCGAGGACGCCGATGACTTCGAGGCCGATGTCGCCGAGGAGGGCGAGGACGACGAAGACTACGGCCCGCCCGTGACCTCGAGCGGCGGCCCCCCTCCGGCTGACGACGACGACGACGACTCGGAGGAGAAGGAGGGTAAGAAGAAGGATATCACCCCCAGGCCTTTCTTCCCTCTGCCCAGCGGGCCCTTCGGCCACGAGCACGGCTACGGCCAGGAGGACAACGCCACGGCCACGTCCACCGAGTCGGCCAAGCCTGCCGTCGTCACCGGCGGTGCTAGCCGGGCCGCTCTCACGACGGCGCTGGGCGTGGTCTTTGCTAGCACTGCCTTTGCGATGCTGTTCGCCTAAGGGTGCGGTGTCATGCACGTAACGACCCCAGGGGGGGAGGGCTATGGACCTTTTCATATTATCATGGTTTTCCTTTTCTTTTACTTTTCTTTCCCTTTCCCTTTTCCTTGTTTTCTTCTTCTTCTGCTTGGTGCCGTCACAGATTGGGACAAGCTACGGCCTTGGCTACTTTTTTACTTTTCTCTTGGAGGATTTGATATGTGTTGTTCTTCTTTCCTTTGTCTCTTTTCCTCTTCTTTCTCTTCTCTATTAGGATCGGGAAGGGAAACTCTTGGGAAATTATCGGTACACGGACGGGAGTGGGAAATTGGGGCAGATTGGAATAATCCGGAAAAGTGTGAATTCTCGGTTGGGGTTTCTTATTTCCTTACATTTACTCAGATTGACTCAACTCTTTGTATTTCTCTTGGACTGATAGTGAAATTGATATTCCTGCCCTCCCTTAAACTTTCAGTCCCAAACATGGTCAGGTTTGAGAGTGATTGGAACACTATCCCGGATGACCACGGACGAAACCTCAAGCACCATGGCCCAATATCACGACTGACCGCATTCTCGGAGTTACGAGCAAGAATGAAGGATGATGCAACAATACCTTGCTAGTTTAGTCTGGCGGCTGTGGGGATACTTGAGTGACTGACTAGCTACGTATGTGAATGTTTGACTCCCGAAAAACCGGGGCCGGACATCGGAGGTAATACCGGCGAGGTAGTCTCCCTCAATAACAATATGAGAATCGGATCTTCCTCCAACTCGTACATAGACGCAGTTATACACGGGAGGGAATTACCTCATCGTCGATCACAGTTACTCACCGCACTACCAGCTTCGCTTCTTTGCCAGATAAATACGGAAGGTGAGCGAGAGATCCATTCCTAGTCATTAGTCGGCAGGGAGGGCGCCAACAGAACTCGCTTGCGACTGCCAGACCTAGAGGCGGGTGTCCTTGGAGATATCAGGAGATGGGAAGCAGTACCACCGGGAGAGCCGCCGCTGCCGTCGAGCGTTTGACAAAAGTCTCTTGGCGCCGCCAGAGTTGGGATAGAAGCACGGGACTGCTCTCTCTTGCGAACCGGGATGCCATGGCAAGCAAGAGAAGGTGCGGCGTACAGATTTGTCAAGATCTTTTCCAAGAAAGACTGGTCTCGGGTCGAGCGTTCCATCTTGTGTCGCCGTCCGCCAGTTGCACACGGCCAGGAGCAAACATGGGTCAGGAACCAAAACAAGTGCTTTGGAGGGAAGAAAGAACGAATGACATAGATGTACAAAAGAGAACTCGTAGCTCACATATTTCTTTTTCCAGATTCACCTCATTGGTCACTCGGATACGACCTTCGTTTGGTCACTCGGACGGAAATATCTTTCAGACACTCGGACAAGACTTTCTCTCATTTGTTCTTTAGGACCTTTGGGAGGAAACCTACAGCCATGAAGTCTGACGTCCCCGTGCTCTACCCCAATGAGGAGGTCGCCAAGGCCGTGACCGAGTACGCCGCGACCAACTCGGGCGGCCTACCGGCTCACCTGCACGAGTATCATGACCACATTCTCAACAACGAGGAGAAGTCCAACCTTACCATCTCCAAGTACCAGTCCCGCGCCGTGATGTGGCTCGCGAAAGCCGCTGGCGCCAAGCGAGGTGAGTTGGAGGAGCTGAAGGCCTGGGCGGGCTTCGCCCCATAGCATGCACCAGGGAGGCTCACAGCCGGCTGGGAAAACGAGACGATTAAGAACAGAGACTAACACCATGCAGTCCTTGAGATCGGCGTCTACATGGGATACTCGAGCCTCATGTGGTCCGAGGTTGTCGGTCCCCAGGGCAAGGTCACGGGCCTCGAATTCAACCCGGACTACGCCGAGAAGGCCAAGGCCGCCTACGCCAAGTATGGCGCCACCAACATCGAGGTCGTGGTCGGCGATGCCCTGGAGCAGTAAGCGCCTTTCTCCTCTCCTCTCAGCGCGCCCTTGATACTAAAGCATTCTACCTTTTCTTCTCCCAAACAAAAAGACTGCCCAAGCTCAACCCGGACCAGCCGTATGACCTCGTCTTCATCGACGCCCAAAAGTCGGGCTACCCTGCTTACCTGCGCACCATCCTGGAGCGCTCGCGCCCCGGCCAGAAGCGCCTGCTTCGCGAAGGCGGGCTCATCGTTGCCGATAACGTCCTGCGTAGGGGTCTGGTCGCTCTCAACAACGAGGCCAACCCGGCGTACGAGGGCGAGGCCAAGGCCGTGCAGGCGTCGGGCTACTGGAGCGAGGACGACATCAAGTGCCTGGACGAGTTCAACCGGCTCATGGCGTCGGAGAAGCGCATCGACGCCTTCCTTATGCCGTTGTTTGACGGCGTTGGTCTCGGCAGACTTGTGGACTGACGGAGAGGGAGCCGGGGCTTGTGGTTTGTTGTTTGGTGACTCGGCGAACGTTTTCCTTCTTTGTAATCGACATACGTTTTTTTTGGTGGTTGTTGACAGTCGCAACCCGTTATGTAATTGTAGTTTCTCCTTCTAAGAGCCATGGGTGATGATGGACAGATGGCTTGGTCAACTTGAGCCTGACTATGGTTCTTCGTGGAATTTTGGTCTCGACTTCTCCTACCCAAGAGCTCACTTATGGAACCTACTGCCTAATTTACTATTCATCTATACCTTGCCTATGATGACACAAGACATCCTTGATTTCAAAGAGGGAGAGGGAGAGAGAGAGGTCCGGAAGCGTTGACATGACCAGAGCCGACATGACCTTTGCACGATGTAATGGGGAAACGAAATGATATCTTCTCAGGTCATAACTTATATGATTGCATATTTGCTGGATAGAGAGAGTGGTTACCACTAACCTTTTTGTGCTTACAGATTCGTTTGCTGGCTGTGATTCATTGAATATGCCACTGATGCCGAGGTGAAAACAATGAAAAACAAGACGGTGTCTGGCAGGTGAATGAACAATGACCAAAGGGGCAATGAAAAGGAGTCAGACCATTTCTGATGATAAAAAGTCTCAACATCAGTCTTACTGGGTTACCCAACAATCAGAGCAAAGACCTTGGAGGAGCATAAACTCAACCCTGATATGAGAAAGTCATTCACCCACCCAGACCCTTTCTTTCGCAACGCCCACCTCAAGAAATTTCCAAACTCGTCACACACACACACACTTCTCACAATCATTTCCCCCTCTTTGCCACTCGCCATTACTCCTATCAGTCAGCGCCGCAGCAGCAAGAGAGCATGAGAATCACCAAGGTCCCCTTCGCCGAGGTGGCAGCGGACCTCGCGCGCCCACAGCCCATCAACTTCAATACCTCCTTCCACTCCCGCGACGAAGCCACCGATCTCGTCGACGACGACGACGACGACGAGAACGAGCCCTCCGAGGCGCCCTACAGCTTCAAGCGCTGGCTGCCCCTGATCCTCCGCAGCCGCGGCCTGCGCCCCGCAGATGTCCAGGTCGTCAGCCTCTCCCGCCCGCAGGCCAAGCTCCTCCTCGAGGCCATGGAGGCGTCCGCGCAGCTCGGCCACGTCAACCGCCTCTACCGCGAGGACCTCGACGACGCCGTCGCCGCGCCCGCGCTGTCCGGGATCGTCTTCCCGCCCGGGGGCCTCTTCGCGCGCCTCGACGCCTGCTCCCCCAAGGACGGCGCCCAGACGAGGCCCGGCGAGAGGGCCATCCGCTCGGTCGACGATCTGCTCACGAGACTCGTCACCTCGGGCCGCGCGCGGTCTGCGGTGCGCAAGATCCTCCAGGAGGACGGCGGCGGCGGCGGCGGCGGCGTGCAGCTGTATCTCTTGCCCTTTGACGCCCGCATGAGCTCCGCACGCGAGTACAGGGTCTTTTGCCCGCCGCCGGGAGGAGGAGGAGGAGGAGGAGCGGAGGAGCAGGCGCACCACCGCATATCCGCCATAAGCCAGTACCAGTGGCACAAGCCCTGGCTGTTTGCCGAGCGCGGCGCGGCGGAGCAGCAGGAGGCGGCGCGGGCGATCTGGGAGGGCTGCCGGGCCGTGCACGCCATGATCGTGGCGGACCTGTCGGCCCATGGCGACGATGACAACCACGACATGGACCTCTTGCTGCGCCGGCAGGGCTTCTCCTTCGACGTCCTGTACGACGATGCCTCCGTCGGCGGTGGTGGCGGCCGGTGCGAGCTGGTCGAGCTCAACGGGTTCGGCGCGCGGAGCTCGTGCGGCTCTTGCCTGTTCCAGTGGGTGCGGGATCGCGAGGTGCTGTACAGCAGGACGGGCACGACCTTCAAGGTTACATGGTGATACCTAGAGAATTCGAGTTTTCGGCCCTCCGGTGATGGAAATAGTTCGAGGGGTGGAGTTTGCGACGACTCCTGGAGCGGACGAGCAGGATGGAACGATGCGCCATGCAGGACAGCCGGTAGTGAGCAGCGGAGTCTTCTGTGTGATTTAGAAGTCTTAACTATTTGACTCTCAATTTCTTTGGCTCTTCCTCTATGAGCTATCCAAGTCTGAGAAACTGGTTTAGGCGAGGGTGATCGGCAGTGAAGCCGTGACCAAGATAACATCTAGCCCTGACCCCTATTTCCTAGCCGTGAAGTGCCATACCCGAGCTCAGACTTTAATGGACAGCACAATTTGATCCTGCGTGAAGATATCGATCGCGTTGCAATGGAGAACACCACACTCAAGCGGAGATGTGTGACCACTGCGCTTTGCAGTCTATTGAGTACAGCATGGATGTCATCATCAGTCAGGGGCACATTGAGTCTGGTCAATGTATCTCTTGAATGACATGACATGAGAATTTCTATCTCAACAAGCGCCTGTAATTATGCCCACACCAAATCCATCATGACCCGGAATCCAAGGAACACGGCACTAGCCGGGCATCAGTGTAGAAAAAGCAAGTGCAAAGGCCGCACGCAGCTTTGCGCACGTCGAGGGAGGGCCTTCCCAACCAGTAAAGCGGACAGCAAAACCTCGGGACACCCTGGATCCCCCCCCAACCATCTTCAGAAGATCCCAACAAGGCGTGCGGCAAGCAAGCAGTCGACGGCCCGAGGCCTGCCTGAGCCGCCCCGTATCCTCGGAGAGGGCAGACCCTGGCAAGCCAAACTTGGCCTGCTGCCGCCCCCCCTCCCCCCCCAGCAGCGGCCCGCGCCCGCAGCCAGACAAATCATCATCGATGCATAGCGCGAGCAAAGCACGCGGATGCACGAGGCGGTGCAGGGCGACAGTCAGCAGACGGGCAGCTGCAGCAGGCACACACGGCTCGGGAAGAGGGAAACATCACACCGCTGATCGTCGCCACATCCAGGGTTCGACAGCAGAGAGACAAGAGGGTGCGGAGGAAATGCAGTTTGACGACTATTTTGCTCTGTTGAAGAGAAGAAAGAAGTAATGAGATGGAGAGGGTGCCATAAGGAAAAGCAAAAGGGGTCTGACCTTCTCTGTCACTGATCGAATCACCTCCACTTGCACGGCTCTCCGCTCGGACCCTCTCCTTTGGAGAGGGGGTGCGCGAATGCGAACCCCGCGCTCCCGGATCTGTGTCATGGAGCCTGAGCGATCGGTGCCAAGAGGAGCTGAGGGCAGTTCCTGAGATCGTGATTATCACCCCTTAGTACTTGTATATCCGTGCCGTGCCCAGCAATGCCCACTGACTGGCAGAGATGCAAGTGATGGTCCCAGTGGCCGTGCTCAGCCTTGCCGCACGGACGGGGTAATGAACCGCGGGACCTGATGGGCAATGAACTCGAAGTTACGACCTCCGCCAATGTACGTGGCTGCAAGTTTGAAGCCCAGGCCCCGGCAGGTCTGCTTGGGGCAATTTCGTGAACCGGCCAAGGAGCAGCTATGATCAATATTTGCATAGAGTGAAGATCCGCCACAAGCGACCGAACAGATAGGCTGCCACAGCTCAAGAGTGAATGGTTTCAATTCTCCGACTCTGCATCAAGGAAGAGCGATCGGTTGCTTGAGCCGAACAAGGCCCTGAGCCTTGAATGCTTGATAGGGATGCCATCTGGAGTCGTGCATGTTGGAGACTTCGGATGAACAGGGGGGACAGGCATCTTGGAGACCGCCAAAGGGACGGGTCGGCTAGCGCGAGACGGCAAAGCCCTTGTCTCAGAGCCCCAGAGACGGATCAGTTTCCGGGACTACCTGATCTCCATCCTCAAACGAGGAGCCGTTGAAACGACATGAGTATTTGAGAAACCCACCCCCCTCGCACATAGATAAACACAATTGTAGGTTGTCAGCCGGGCAGTTCAGTGCAAGTCAATCAGCTTGAAGCACTCGCTTCGCTCTCGATGGTCGAAGCCTAGAACTCTATGTGTCGGTGTGTTGATGATGGTAAAGGGTGTGGTCACGTCGGAGACTAAAATAGCTTCAACCTCCGGCTGAGACAATATCAACGTGCGCATGAACGCCCCTCGCTAGCGGCCTTGAAAGCCCGTCTAGAACGTCGTCGACGAGGTTGATCGGGCCATATCCTTGTTCTGCCACTTAGTGCAGTACCATTAGCAACCAGGCTCTCACTGGCGATGCGCGACTCGCCGATGACGGCAACATGCAAGGCTAGAAGTACAAGTAGAAGGGTGAGACCGTCTGTGGTGAGAAAATCTGCTCACACATCGATTTGGGGGATGAACACGAGCTGCTCGGTCCCGAAGACGAGGGCGACAGCTGTCATCATCTTGCTAGCTTGTCAGTGAGGCATCTGACATCGGCTTAGCCCATGCCCGGATGGATCTTGTCTGGGACCCAGGATGGGCGCCGGTGTTTGATCAGTCACGGCAGCCAGGCTTTCAGCAAAAAGCAAGGAGAAAAGACCGGCCTCCCCAACCTAGGGACCTGATCGACGTTGTGGTGGTGGTGGTGGTGGTGGGTGCAAAAAGCAATGATGGTGTGGTGTGCAGCTAAGGTGAAGGCTAGATTGAGCTACCTAGGCGCTCTTCGTTTGCAACGGGTCAAAAGGTCAAGGTCGGAAGAAGGTCGGAAGTGTCGACTGCCGATGATCGCCTCCTCGAATTCTGCCATAAGGGTTGGCGATGACAGCAGAACTGGGGCATTTGCTTGATGACAGCGAGATGTTCGTCTCGGAGATTTATCCGGAAGCTCGGCAGATAGGTAGCAATCCCAGCACCGAGAGAGAGAGAGAGAGAGAGAGAGAGAGAGATCCTTCTCGTTTGGCGGCAGACCACGTCACGGTGGGAAGGTCTCAGATTGGCGAAAGGGTGTTGGTTAGAGCTTAGAAGATAGTTGTATCACGCTCAATTGTTCCTTTTGTTAGCCGGCGGCTACAAGCCATCTGTTCACGACGGGTTGCATTGCGTGTTCAGCTCCGGACGCTTTGGCCCGTCAGCAGTCAGCCACCATCCAACGGTGAGCACAAAGTGCAGGGCTGTGAACACGAACCGCTGGCAATGATGGCTGGCGAATGGCAAGCATTTATCGTCACCAGGACCCCTACTCAGTGGGAAACTCGGTCAGTTGCTGTTGGTGTTCGAGGCCTTTTCTCAGGGAGAAAAAAAATCAAGATCGATCTGCATCCAGGAAGACGCGATGTTGGACGAAAAGAGCAGTTGGGAAAGCTAGCACCATCAAGCTCCGCACATCGGGTTGCCGATCAGGGCCGTGGATGCATTCATTGGCGATTGAGCATCTGATAGACAGATTTGTTATGGGCTAATAAAGGAGAAAAGAGGCAATGAGGCACGGCTTTAAAGCTCTGGCCGTCCCGGATATGTATTGATGGGTGATTAGTATTCGAGCAGTCATCATCATTGTCGAATCGAGCAAGCCTGCTCCCAATTGGGGCAACTCCTGCCAGACTGATTGAGGACAGTCGGGAACATCAAGGCCAGCAGGCCGGGGATCTCGGTACCTTGCAGCTGCTGAAAGCCTGCCCAGTGCCGTCTGTGAAAGTTTGTTGTTGATGCAGCTTGCCATCCATGTCCGGCCTTCACGCTCCACTCCAGACAGGCCCCGATGGCCATGTCCGTATGGATGCAGGTCACGGAGACGCACATGCAGGTCAAGATGCAGAGAGATGCATGGTCACTGGCAGCGAGCAACTTGGGGCCGGAGGGGTGCTGGCATCATGGGCTCTCCTCCATCACCGCCTCCTGCTGCTACTGCTACTGCTGCTGCTAGGCGGTTTGTATTGCACTGCGTCAGTACATTGTTGACGAGCAAGAATATGCATGCTCTCGGAGTCCTGCACTAGTACAAGTAACTAGTAAGCAGCACCTGATGCTTCAAAACATCGCCTACCAAGTCGCACTTTGAATGAAACGACCCAAGGAGGCTGGAACACTGGCCATCTGGAAGCATCAGGATCTTGAAAATCCCCCCCTATTGGATGCAACCCGTTCGCGTGGGTTCCTGGCCTGGAAGCAGGAGGAAGGGTCTCTGTCTGGCTAGTGGAAGCCCCTACCAGACCAAACAGGCATGGCACTGTGCGCTCGGTGGTTTTTTACTTGTGTTTGCCAGCAGGGGATCCTGGATTAGGCTGGCACTAGGCCCGTGGAGTCTGCTCGAGGGCCCCGAGAGAGCACCTGGAGGAGGCGGCCTAACTCGCAACAGCACACCAACTACAGTTACTGGTTCCGGTGGTTGTCACGGCTGTCAGGCTAATGCAATACCTAAAGTCAAGTAATCTCTCCATCTCCAGGTTGTCCGCCAGCAAATTAAAGTCCAACCTCTCTGCCTCTCTTGGCCCACCTCGACTGTGGAATCACTCACGTTCCAGTGCCTTTTTCGACATCCAAGCGAGGAGCGAGAACAAGAAACGTAAAAGAAGGATTCCAATTCGATTGTCGGCAGTTCCACGCCTCGCTTAAAGAGCTGGCGTGTAGACCAGACCGCAAAGGGAATCCGGCCAGCGGAATAAAGCAGGGGTCTCTCGTCAATTGGACCTCAACTCCTCTCCTCTTTGCATGTCCGGCCAGCAATTGATCAACCGGGGCTGGTTTACAAGTACTTGTACGCTTGTACAGTATCTCCACCATCACCGGCCACCCCAGCTTCACCTTGGACCTGCCTGGCCACCATCTCACGTCTCTCTCACTTCTCGCTCACACTTGAGCCTCTCGTTATTGAGTCTCGCCTGGCCCCCGATGCCACCGTGAGCACAGCATTACCACCATTTTTTTTTTTCTTTTTTCTTTTCTTTTCTTTGCGCCCCACGCAAAGTCTCATCCAACCCTCTGCCAAAACCACCCACCACCACTCCAGGCTCGCCCACGAGCACACCCTGCATACCCACCAGGGTCTTGTCCAAGACAGGTAAGGAAGAGAAAAAGGGATCGCCCGCCGTCTCCTCGCACACCCACAATTCTCGTCCCATGCGTTGCTAGGCCCGTGGCCCCCTTCACCACCACCACACCTCCTGCAACCTCACGCGCATCTGGCCAGAGATAGGGGGTGGCAGCCGAAAAAAAGAACGGGGGCCGTGTGTTTCTTCTCCTGTCTGTCCGTCCCTCATCATCCTGCTCCTCGCCTTTCCGCTGCGGCATCGACGGTGCCAGCTGCTTGTAGGCGACCCGACCGACGGCTTTCCTGCTCAGCTTTCTTCTTCTTTACGACCTCTCTTCGGACACCCGGCCGTTTCTTCGCAGCTGTGTTTCACCTTGTTTGCGCTGCCCTGCTGTCCTCCTGTCCTCCCGCGTGTCAGTGGACCTCCTCTTAATATCCAGAACAGCAAAGGTGCGTTCCGTTTGGTACAAAACAATCCTCCGGTACCCTGGTTTTTTCTTTTGTTCTTTTTGCCTGGCAGTCCGTGTATCACCCAGCCCTCCTGTCTGCATCTTCATTGGGGGCCCATTGACCTTGGGCCGGCTGTGTGCTTGACCGATTGTGCGCCAGCGGAGCACAAAAGTTGCTTTGCTTTGCTTTGCCATGATTGCTGCTTCTTGCAGACTGCACATCGCTTCACACGGTCTGTCTGCTTTGGCATGCAATTGACCCGAGAGAAGAGACAGAGTATGTGTGTGAGGAGCTAGAGCGCGAAGCTCTGAACCTTCGCGCAACGACTAGTGACGATTGGCTTTCTCCCTCCCGAAGATGACTTCATCCTTCATCCTGATCCTGCCTGTCATCCCAATTGCTTTCTTCATCGCCTGCTACAAGTTCAAGAAGGGAACCGCTGCCCGTGCCTTGGCCTCGGGGTCACACCAAATCTGCCACTGCGCACAAAGTTGTCGCTTTGGTTGTCCCGCGGCTGGGCCTGCGCATGAAGCAGCCCGTCTTGGTGGATCATACGCAACACCTATTCTGCCATGCTTCCCTGGCTTCTTTGTTTCACCTTGCGCAAATCGGGTCCATAGGTCACCAGCTAACACAAGGCAGCTTGCCGCTGTTCTGCCCCAGGTACTTTGTGGCGACGGCGCTAGGATACGCACCCTACTCGAGATCTCGAATCCGACCCTTGAGCGTCGACATTCCACGACATACTCACCCTAATCTGCAACCCTCGCACAAGGCCAGCACAGTCAGCGGCGACTCGAGCAGTTCTCGCCGCGATCAATCCTACGAGGCGCTGTGCGCCGTCCTACACTACCATCCGGCGCCCGCACAAGGTGGCTGCACATCCTGGATGTGCAACGAATAATACAAAACTATGACGGTGCCTTCGGCGACAAACTCGGCCATGTCTAGCAGAACATCTTCCGGGGTTATTTCGCCGCCCCAAAAGGTGCGATCAAGAGCACCGAGCATGTCTAGCGACCGGCCGTCCACCACGGCCCACAGCTTGATGTCTCCTCCGCTCTCAGTCTCCCCCGAGGCTGCCTTCATTGCCGCATCGGCCGCGTCACAGATCGTTACCAACGACCACGACAGCCACGCCGATGCGTGGTACGATCAGCATGGTTTAGAGCCGTCTGGAGAGACGGCCTCTGTCTCGCCAGCGGCCCTCCAGCTTGTCAACAACTTTCTCGACCAGCTTCTCTTCAACTTTCTGTCAGTCTCACGAGCGACAACGCTGACAGCACTGAGACCGGCCGTCTCAGAGGTCCTCAAGCCCAAACTCGCCAAAGATGCCATTAACCAGGCCGACGAAGAGCTCAGGGAGTACCTTGGCGGCGGCGATGATGAGGATATTGTGCCGACCAACTCCGCGCAGTCCCCGAGGGACTGGGACCTCGAGCTCGTCTGGAAGAGGACGCGACTGAGATGCATGGTCTACTCGTCGCTTGGCGACATGGAGGAAGAGGACGAGGACTACCATATGGAGCAGGAGCACCTGGGCGGCTTTGACGACGAGCAATTCGCCGAGACCGTCTCGCCCGCCGTGGCCATTTTCCTGACCTCCATCCTCGAGTTCATGGGCGAGCAAGCGCTCATCGTCGCCGGCCAGGCTGCGTATCACCGCATGCGTGCCAAGTACGAGAAGGACCTCAAGGAAGGTGCGCGGAGCCCTGCCGAGGTCGCGGATCGCATCGTCCTTGAAGAGCTTGATATGGAGCGCGTGGCGCTCGACCGCACGCTCGGCAGGCTCTGGAGGGCCTGGAAGAAGCGGATACGGTCTCCCGCCCCGGAAATCAGCTCCTTTGCCAGGGCCATGTCGCGCGATTCACTGCGGGCCTCTGCGCTGAGCCATGCCAGACAAGGAAGCATCAGCATGAGTGCTGATAATGTGGTCCCGGAGACCGTACCCGAGAAGGCTCCGGCCCCTGAGTCTCAGTCGAGTGACACGACACAAGGATCCGAGCCGGTGGAGGAAGAGCCACTGGAGGAGTACCTCCGAGCGGCAGCTATCCCTATCCCGGTAGGAGATAGAGAAATCGCCGAGATACTGATTCCCGGCCTCGCATACTACAGCGACGACGAGGAGGAAGTGGAGGAAGATGGCGAGCCACACTCTGTGAGGCCGAAGAGCATGATGATCATGTCGCAGACGACTTTCCAGGACCTCCCTACCCCCACCACCTCGCAACCACATACGCCCCTTCTTGGGCCGTCTCGAAAGCGTGCCAACTCGCTTCCCACTCCGGCGTCATCTCCTTACAAGTCCCGCTCCTTGGATCCGATGAATGCCGAAGGCCCAGAACCTGAGGTGGCTGAGGAGCAGGCAGAAGAGCGTGACGATGCTTCGCCGGCTACCATCACGCCCGCCGAAACCCAGGCCCAACCCTTGGCTTTCAACGAAGAGTATGAAGTCGAGGGCGCTAAGGAAATGTCGGCTCGAGTTGTTCCTGCCATCCAGACAGCTCACGTTGGCTCACCGGAGCGAAAGGGCGCGGGTGATGTCGAAGAGCACACAGAGATTCGCGCGTCCTTGGACGGCGTTGATGACTTTGACGAGTTCGCGGAAGAGCCCCAGATCCTCACGTCGGCTCGCGTCTCCATGTCGGGCCGGAGCAGCTCGCCCTCTGCTTCAGAGGGCGGCAGACCCTTATCTATCAATCCGCTCCTCCCCACCCGCTCGGGTAGTGTCCACTCGCTCAAAATCATCGAAGTCCAAAGCCCCCGCAGCCCCAACCCGATCAACCCGATCAGCAGGTCTCGAGGAAGCTCCTTCGATACCACCGAACACAAGAGCGGCAACGTATCGCGCGCTAGCAGCATCTCCGTCAACGAGCGCAGGAAGACGGCCGAATTGGTACCAAACGCCAGGGCCTCGATGATGGCTAGAAGCCCGACCAGCGAGTCGATCTCGGAGGCTGAGGAGGTCGCCGAGCCAATCCAGCCCCTCGCGGCAGTCGCGCCTTCTGCACCAGAGCCCGCGACGAAAGCCGCGCCCGAGTCCAAGCGCGCCCCTCGACCTGAGAGCGTTGAAGCGAGTGTGCGTGATGCCCAGCCGATTTTTGGTTCCGCAGCTACGCGACCAATCTCCCCACCGCGATCGCCCGCCAAGCCGACGACCAAGGTGACCATCCTCAGCTCAACCACCTCCAACGGTACATTCTTCATCGACGAGCCGCCGCGGGTCCCGGAGAAGGCACCGAGACAAGTCAAGCCCCCCTCGCCGCCACTGCCCGAGAGGAGCTCGAGCAGGCAGTCGCCCATCACCAAGCGTCCTGTGGAGATCACCGCCGCCATGGCATTCGCTCCTCTGGATCGCCCCAGGACTCGCAACGGCTCTCCCGACCCGACGCCCGCCGAACGCAGCTCGCCCGCAAGATCTCTTGAGCGCCCTCCGAGCATGCGGCCCCACCATGGCGCCGGCTCCTCCATCTCGTCGACGAACAAGTTCAGGAATGTCCGCGCATCCGAAGACAGCACGGCGATGCGTCCGGAGGATGTTGCTCGCAACTTTGAGGAGCTGATCCAGAGCGACCAGACCATTCAGTATACGCTCACTCCCGAGAGCATGCGGGATATCGATTCCACCAGGTCCCTTCACAACGAGAGCCCCGTGGTCACGACCAAGAGCAGGAAGAGCGAGGATGCCAAGCAGAATTCGGACCGGTCTCGATCGTCGTCGGTGAACAGGCCGGCTGATGTCAAGCGGACGGCTTCTGTCTCGCGTGCTTTCGGCCTGACTTCGCACCCGGTGCCCCAGGGCCAGGCGGCTCCCAGACTCAATGGTCCAGTACCCAGGGCGCCGCCCAACATGCCCTCTTCTGGCCGAGCCAACGGTCCTCAGGCCAGGGATGCCAAGGTCCCCGGCGAGTCGCTCAAGGACCTGGCAGAATTCATCCGGGCGACTGGTCCCACCGGTGTTGAAGCAGAGAATCCTCGCATGAACGGAGCCAACCGTGCCGCGCCCAGTCGCAGCGGCTCTGCGCAATCGCCCTCGTCCCAGTCCAAGACGAGCCTTTCCTCGGCCAACCGGCCGAGATACCAGGCTCGGGACGCCACTGTCGACTACAAAGACGACAACTCGGATCTCATCGACTTCATCCGCCGCGGCCCGCCGAGCACCGCCAACAACCCTCGCATCCCGCGCACCGTCGCGCCCTTCCGCACCACCATGGACTCTGATCAGCTCCAGGCCGCCGTCGGCGGCAAGGCCGTCGATGCCACGCTGCCGCCCATCCGCAACAGCACCGCCGCTACCAGCGTCAACACCCCCTCCGTCCAGTCCTCCATCAACTCCTCCAGCGCCCTGCTCAAGAACTCCCAGGGCAACAACCCTGGCGGCGGCAACGCGTTCGACAGCGACATGCCCATGCCCCAGCGCAAGACGCGCCGCGTGCGCGACCCGTACGCCATCGACTTCAGCGACGAGGAGGAGGCCGAGGACGAGGACGGGGACCTCTTCGATGCGAGGCCGCCGCCCAAGAAGCCGCAGAGGCAGGAGGAGAGCCTCATGGACTTCTTGCGCAACGTGCCGCCGCCTCCGGAGCCGGCGCCCTCGCGCCTCGAGCAGCAGATGCGCCAGGTGCCCAAGAAGAAGGCCAGCGCGCCGAGCCTCATCATGGCGCGGTTCGCGCGCCGGGAGAGCGGCTCGCACGCCTCGTCGTCCGGTAAGTACGGCAGCGGCGGCGGCGAGACGAGCCCCGGTATGCCCCCGCAGACGGCCTCGCGCTCGCTTAACAGCCGGGCCGGCACAGCGAGCGGCTCCGGCGCGCGCGGCTACGTGCCCATCCAGGTCAACATGCCGGCGAGCCTCGAGCGGTTCCTGCCCGGCGGCAACTCGCCGCGCGCCGCGTCGACGCCCTCGCCCTCGCTCTCGCTCTCGCAGCATCAACAGCAGAGTCCCGGCCTCGTCCCGCCTAGCAGGTCGTCGAGCCGGACGCTCATGAAGCGGTACGAGCCGAGGGACGCGCACGGCCCCGGGGTCCATAGGTCGGCTACCTCGGACCTGGCGGACTTCCTTAAGAACTCGGGTCCGCCTGAGGGTTTTGCTGGCGGTGGTGGTGGCGGCCCGATGCGCAGCCCGCGGGAGGACGAGGTCTCTGGTAACGCCGGAGGCAGCTTCTCGCGGCGCATGTTTGGCGCGCGGAGGAAGAAGTCGAGTCTTGCTTGAGCACATGCACGGCAGACACATGCATACACACACATACCGATGAGTGTGTTAGGGGAGAGAGTGCGGGTATCTGTGTTTGAATGTTTTCTTTTCTTTCCAATTCTTGATGACACCCTTTACATGAGGAGGTTCATTTGTCTTTTTTTTTCTTCCACAACTCGGCAGACTTGATGAGGCTGCTCTCTGGTACTCATTTCTGCCTTTTTCGAAGACTCTTTGTATGATCACGAACACACAAAACATTCACCTGCTTCGTTCAAAACATTCCATCAGGAGCGGCCCCTTTCCTGCTCCATAAGCACGACTCATCTCGGCCGCCCCCATCTTCATGTCACGTCCAGAGTCTCTCTCACGGACCTTTTGTTTGGCACGATGCTCACCGCGTTCTTCTTGTTCTATTTTTGTTTTTACCATTCGATACCACGACCTTTCTCTGTGGAAGGGGAAAGATTTACGACCATCAGGGGCGGTCATGTTGTTCCAATCCTGGCCTACCATTCACATGTGGGCTTTTGTTTTTTGTTGTTTTTCTCTCTTGCCAGCTATCTATCTGGCTGGTCTTCTTTTCCTCTACTATCTCATCTGGAAGGGGGTTGCTCGGATGGGAAAGGGGGGAATTTTCCTCGACTCTTCGGGGAAACAGGGAGACTGTGTTTGCAGAAAAAAAAAGAGGAAGACAAGACTGCTCGTGTGTGTACATACATCTGTTTGACTGATCCGTGTATTCGGATACTCTTGTACTGAGTTTCAAAAGAAAAGACAACGGTTCATGGTATTTACAGTTGCTCCACTTTGGAGCTTTGATATGTGACTGACTGACTGGCTATCGTAATGTGTGCCCTCCTTCAGGGTTCGGACACAAGTAGGCAAAGCACTTGAATCCTGACCAAACTACCAGAAACTCAATAGCCTGTTCCCAAGTAGGTTCGATCGGAGATAGGATCGATGTCGAGATCTTGTCCTACAATAGGCAGTAAGAATACTACTGGTTGACTCAGCAGGGGATGGACATTTTGGCACGAAAACTGGTTTCTATGGACTTGAACTGGAGGATCAGTTCTCGGTCCGGGGTGCTGCTCGCAGCGTCCTTCCGGCATTGCCTGATTGGTGACACAGCGAAATATCTGCAAGGGATCGAGAGGAGGGATATGCCGGTCTGCTATTGCTTCGACCAGGTTCTGCAAGATGGCCCCCAGAACTCAAGATGGCCATGTTCTCCCAGGCGCGGCCGCTAACACACCGTTTCTTCCCTCCTCCCCCCCATGGCTGGCGGAATCCCCCGCTCCTTGTGCCTAAAAAGTTTGGGCCGCGTGAGCCACTGCAGGATTAGTTGATTACGCCACAGCCAGAGAAAAGAAAGGCTGGAATTTCCCGTTTGGCGGAGGCGTTGCGTGTAGGGATGGCGTCGATTATGACGTCGTAGGCTTTGTGTGCCCGGGGTTTGTGCCAAGCAACGTCACGCGCGTCCCCTGTGTTGTTTTGCGCAAGAAACAATACCGGCACAAAGCGTTGCATGGCGGCGGATCTTTAGATTGCGATAATATCAGGCAAAGTAAAAAAAATGAGTAGTAAGATGCTTGTGAGGTCACTTGCATTCTTTTGGGACACAGTCAGGGTTCGTCTTCAACGACGGTCTATCTAGGTGCGAGTTGCTAAAGTAGCAGGATTCCTCGACAGAGTTTATGAAGGACGAAAAGCCATATGGGTTGTTGTGAGAGCTACGCACAGGACACGCACGCTCGTGGGTCTTTTGGGCATGGCGATTCTTGTTCGTTCCTTGGCTGTCGATGTCGAGCCTTGGTTTTTTGGCTCTTGGATTCATTCCCTCGTGGCACCACACCACTATCACGAAACCCGAAACGCTGATCCATTCCCACCCCCCGGCCTGGGCGAATCATCGTCACACTTTGCTGCATGCGAAATAAGGTGAGTCAGGGCCAACCAGTTGCTGGCGCCGAACCTTTTTTCTTGTCCGTCCTCCATTCCCTGGTCTCTTCTTGGTTCCCGGTTTGCGCCCTGGTTTGCTGGCTTAGGTCGGTGGCCCTGCATCTGCATGCCCAACACGCCCGGCAATGTGTAAGTCAAGTGCTGTCTGGTGTCGAAGCAGGGTCTGTGACCATATGATGTAGGAGGGTAGGTAGGTCGCAGCAGGGTAAGTGGAAGGCCCTTCGTCATTGCTCGCTGCTTTGCGTCGTACGATACACATAAGAAGGTGTGCGGGTGACCTGCCTACCTACCTCTCGTTTGCTTTCCCTCTCCCTTCCTTTCTGTAGCAGTCAGTTCAGCCTTGAGCACTTCGTCAAAGAAGATAATCTGTCGGTCAACCTTCTCGACCCTGTCGACACCTTTTTGCTCTCCAGCAAAATCCATCGCCAACAAGCTACACCCCACCCCGAACAGCAAACCCCTCCCACAACAACATCAACCGCCGCCCAAGATGATCATCACCGACCTCGTCAGCATGCTCTTCCGCCTCGCGGAGCTCGCCTTCGCCGCCATCGTCGCGGGCCTGACGGGCGACTACCTCCACCGCGTGCGCGGCACCTCGTCCTGGTCCCAGGGCCGCTTCATCTACACCGAGGTCGTCGCGGGCCTGTCCATCCTCTTCTCCATCGTCTGGCTCTTCCCCTTCGCCGGCAGCTTCGTGCACTACCCGGCCGACTTCCTCATCTCGGTCATGTGGTGGGTCGCCTTCGGCCTGCTCGTCAACTGGCTCGACGGCGGCTGCGGCTACATCTTCAACTGGACGGGCATCACCTTGCGCGGCGGCGACTCGTGCGGCAAGTGGAAGGCCGACGTGGCGTTCTGCTTCCTGTCGGCGCTCTGCTGGCTCGTCAGCGCGCTGCTCGGCGTGTACTGGGTGCACCGGCAGCGCACGCGCGCGACGACGGGCACGGCCGCCGGGTACCGCCGCCGGAGGTGGTACCGCCGCTCCCGCATCTAGGCCCGGAAGAGCAGAGCACGCGGGTCATTCCTGCATGCTGGACCGCGCTCGCCTGCCCCGGTGTGCAGACCTCTGCCTATGCCGGGACAAGGGAACCTGGTCTTGCGGGGACACTCTTCATCGAGTGCGACTTTGTCAAATACCCCGGCTGAGCAAATTTGCGGGAGGATACCAAGCTTGACTGTTTCGAACATGCGTTGCGATATTTGGGTTTCTTGCAAAGCCATGTTGGTTGGATACCTTGTGCGTGCTAGTTCCCTGTTTAGCCTATCCGGTCTTGGGAGACGGACTAGTTCGCGTTGCGTGTTGCTGAGGGAGTTTTCCGTAATGACTGTTATGATGGATGTGTGTCGAGGATTTTCATATGGGAGAGACGACGATTCGGTCTGGCACCACACGCTTTGATACCCTCACTACGCTTGCCATTTTCCATACGTTTACTTTTGTCCACTTGCTGCTAGCTTCTGTACTTCTAATAATAACTTGCTTCCTCGACGTTATTATGCCTTGCTAGAGTGAAAAAAACCGCCCACTTGCTGTGGGCACGGTACGTGAAGCTAGTTGCGAGACACTTACGTACTTGGTCACTAGTTTGCTGATGAGGCAAGGTGAGAGGATATCTTTCTAGCTAGGCACTTGGTGTGCACTGTTCACGGCCAGCGAGCATCTGCAAGGGACCAGATCTCAAGCGCGATCTCAACCAGAGGGATGCACGATTAGGTTTGGGGCGGGAGCAGAGATATATGACCATGTCATGTCATATAGCAAGAGGGAGAGAAACAGCTGCTCGAGCTTGTTCTGTTTCAGTCCGGAAAAGCAAACTGGCATCGCAGCGTGAGACTGCACCTATACCTGCTGGATTCTCGCTTCCTAGCCATGCCTTTAGGACAGGCTCTGGCCTTCGTGAATTCTAGAAATCCCCATTCATCGTGCCCACCCGAAAACTACGGCCATCTGTAATCTCATCTGCAAGACAGCGATGCGAGATCCGCCCCGTTGGTAATCTCCATCGGCACCAAAGAGGGAGCATCGGCGAGGATGGAGCAGCCCCAGCAAGGACCGGCCCTGCTTTGATAGGTACGGCCAGGATTCAGGTCTAGGCCCAGCTCCCCTCGTCCCGTGGCCACACCGGTGATCAGAAACTGTAGCAGGAACGGAGACGGGTCGCACGGCTCGAAAACCTGTTTTTGTCAGATTCTGTGACAGTAACGCCTTCAATGGTCACGGTTGGAGGACTTTGTCGGAGGAAGCGAGCAGGATCTAGATGCAGTAGGTACGACAAGGGCGAGGTACATCCTGGATTCGTATCCCGAGGCCCGTTCGTACAAGTAGCTTATTCCTGATGGAGTAGTTCTACTTGTAGTACAGATGGCCGATCTCTCTGTTCAAACAGGCAGAAAAGAGTTGGCAAGTGATCAGAGCCGCAAGTCTGGCTGGTGACGTTTTGGGGGCCGGTCTAACAGAGTCTATGCTGTCATAATGCGGGGGCGGCTAGGCCGGAACGCCACAGCTGACCCCACCACTTCCCGTCGGGCGAGCTATTTAGCGCTTTTGGGGGAGAGAGCTTCAGCCACAGCGGGGTGCGGTTTCGTATTGTCGCTAGAATCTCCCACTGAAGAATTGCACTCACTTGAACTGCACGTAACTACGGTAGCTGAAGCTTTGGGTAATCTCGAAGGCTACAGCACAGTGTAGAAGACCAATTGAAACATTGAGACTCCTACGACTTCCCTCGTCACAAGACCTGGCTCTGTTAGGCTGCTGCAGGATGTTTTGCTCCGGACCGAAACTGCAGCTTCCTTGGCCAGCCAGCCCCTGATGTCCAAATTGACGATTTCCGGATTCAGCCAGGGAATCCTGTTGGCTGGCGAGATCAGATCGGGAGGAACGCCCCCACAGAGGACGAACGCCTAGAACGTCACCAGCCACAGCTAATGAAGCAGCTATGACGCCCAACCCGAGCCACCCTGTCCACTTTTTGTCTTTTGTCTTCTGTCATTCTCCCAAATGTCTCATCCTGGAACCAGATGGAGAAGTCAATGGGCGTCCACGTTCAGAAATAAGGTATTTGCTTGGCTTGCTCCGCTGGGGAGAACTTGGGGGCTGTCTGCTAGCCGCCACACTTGGGGGCTTCCGCTACCAGCAGGCCAGGTATCCAAGTATCTCTCCTTCTTCCGAACGTCTTGTCCAGCAGCTATGACGACGCATGACTTCACATTGAACTAACGCGCGCGCCTCCATCCAGGTTCCTGCTCGCTCGGGTAGCTCTCCTGCCACTATGTGAAACGCCGAGTGGCTGACGCAGCTGGAGAAGCCCACAGAAACAAGCCGGCTCAGGAGCCAGGCAAGCCAGGTTCTCTGCCATGGCAGGTCGAGCATACAAACGCACGCCGATGCGGGTCTGCTGAGGTACCACAACCCTACCTATATGCCAGCCAAGGACGACCAATCCTCCTTCCCACGAGAAGCCGTGGAGATGACGTGACGCCATCTGCCTCACGATGTGTGGTAGGTGACAAGCAAGCCCGCCCGGTGCGAGGTAGGTACCTTTTTCACAGCTCTTGTCTTCCGTCACTGCCTCCCGCTCTTCACCCACCACCATCGGAGATGTATATAAAGATGGAGATATCCCCCTTAGCCTCCTTCGTCCAGATCCTCCCTTGTCTCTTCATCTTTCCAACCACACACACACACATCAGATACCCCTGAAACCAAACTAGCAACATCCAACTCTACCTACTTTCAAGCCTTTCGATACCCACATACACACCACATACACACAGTCACCATGTCTTCCATCGTCAACAAGATCAAGGAGGCAGTCCACTCCGACAGCCATAGCACCTCCCAGCCAGAGGGCACCCACGGTCCTCACTCTAGCCGCGCGGCAAACGCTGCTGATCCGCGAGTGGACTCGGACCGAGACCACCGCGCCGCTCCCGGAGGCACGTTTGGCGGACAGACGGGTGGCCACACCACTGGCGCCGGCAACAACTACACACACTCGACGGGCACCACCGGCATGACGGGCACCCATGCACACACCGGCGTCGGCACCACCGGCATGACGGGCACCCACGGCGCTGGCACAACGACTACTGGTTACAACGATCCCGAGGGTGTCCACGGTCCTCACTCCAGCCGCATGGCAAACGCTGCTGATCCGCGAGTGGACTCGGATCGTGACCACCGCGCTGCTCCCGGCGGCACTTTTGGTGGACAGACGGGTGGCTACACCACTGGTGGCAACACACACTCGATGGGCACCACCGCCCCGCACGCACACACCGGCGTCGGCACCACCGGCATGACGGGCACCCACGGCGCTGGCACAACGACTACTGGCTACAACGATCCCGAGGGTGTCCACGGTCCTCACTCTAGCCGCATGGCAAATGCTGCTGATCCGCGAGTGGACTCGGATCGTGACCACCGCGCTGCTCCTGGAAGCACTGTTGGCGGCCAGACGGGTGCCTATACCACAGGCGGCAACACACACTCGACGGGCACCACCGGCATGACGGGCACCCATGCACACACCGGCGCTGGCACCACCGGCATGACGGGTGGCGCCTACTCCACAGGCCCGGGCCCTGCTCCCAACACTGCGGGCCCCCATAAGTCGGATATGCTCAACAAGATGGATCCTCGCGTGGACTCGAATCTCGATGGCAGCAAGACAATGGGCGGTAACAAGACCTACCAGTCGTAAGTAGGTTCACGTGCCTGTTTTCTCCCGGTAGCCGGCGCATCGTTTCGTTTTTGGCCAGCCGGACTTTTCCAACTCGCCAGGTGCTAATCGTCGTCTCTCGAATCAGTGGCTCCACGCTGCACAAGGACCCCACCGATGCCTCCCAGGTCCCTCCCTCGGTGATGCAGAAGCACGTCGGCGGCCCGACCATCGAGCATGAGGATCACTCTCACGACCGCGCGCGCCGCAACTCGCAGGCCACGCACCAGGAGAACTTTAGCGGTATCTAAAGTGGTCAGAGTGGTTGCAGGATGCTGTCTTTTCCTTTTTCTTTTGCTGTCTGTATCATTACCAGCAGCAGGTTTTACGTCTGGTTTGATGAATGTTATGATAATGCATGCCCCTATCGCGGGGTATGGGGAGGAAGAATTGGGGTTACTGCCTTACGTAGCTCCTTTTTTGATACCACAATGAGATGTCATTTTAGTCACTTTACAGGGTCTCGATCGAAATGACGTAGCTTCGGTCAGTATTGATGGATGAGCTTTCATGCAGCAATGGTACCCGACCGATAAGGTGCCCAATCTCCTTAGTGAGCCATCTGGGACTTGCGTAAGCCATTGAACCGATGCCGGCTTCCAATCGTCTCCAGGTTCGAGTCTCGATTGGTGGTTATCTCATCTCGATCCATGGCCACTTATCCGGGGTTGAAGCCTCGTTTTAATGCCAGCTACGAGCAAGTCAAGGCTACGCCGCGGCCCCTGGGCTGTGCGTGGCTCTGTCTGTCACCACGTTAGATTGGGTTGATAGTTCATGTAAGTCCCAGCGGTCCGGGCTTTGGCGCCTAACAATCTCTCGAATGAAGTGTCGAGCTCACAGAGGTTCAGTTAACTCTCATCTTTTATTGGTCTCGCCTGTCACTGCGAGCGGCTGGGGCCCATGTCAAATGTGTAGTTCATTGGCCCGCAAGGCAACAACACCTCATCATGAACAATCCGCATACAATATTTCTACCCAAGAGGGCTCCTTTTGGATTTCTTCTCAAGTTTTGGCCAATGCACAGTGTAGAAAAGCTTTGTAGCAATTGGTCTTGACGAGCTTTCTAGCCGCATCATGGACAGAGGCTGGATCGAGTTTCTCCAAGCCGGACAGCCCAACTTTAGTTCGTGTGGTTGGCGATACATTGATGCCCTTCCCGGTGCAGTCCCCATCAAGGCCCAAGATGCCTCAGTGCGCCATGCCCGTGTATGTCCATCACTTCAACTGTTTCACTGTCTCACGAAGCAACTGTATTGGACTTATTGCATCACTAATTCACGACACCTCGATGATTGGTTGCGCTCTTCCAAGATATAACGGCACGCTCTGACCCGGGTCATATCGCTATGCAGTTGTCCTCCTTTCCTTCCTACATGGGTGTCTCACATCGGCAGCCTCCATCACTCTCGTTTGCCGGTAATCTTGATACGTTCGTCCAGTCCGTCGTTTGGTCCTCGTTTCCAAGCACATCCTTCACCCAGGAGTCCCCGATCATCCCTTCTTCCTCCAGCCTACCCTGCTCCAATATCTCAAATGGGCTCCTCGCACTCAGTACTCAGAGTAGTGACCATCTCACAAACTTTTCTCTCAAAGCTATCGCAATCCCGTATCTTGGCAAAGCTGCCACTCTCCGATCCGCTCAAACCGACAGCATGCAAGAAGACCCAACCGTCCGCTGCCGCCGACGGTGGCGACGATCCCAGCTACTTCTCACCCTGTCGCGACGGCATCGTCGAGAGACAGAACCTGTTCCTCTTCACGGACGACGCCTGGGCGCCCGGCAGCGAGCTGACTGTGTCGTTTATCGAGCCCGTGCCTCGCAACGACAACTTTGATGTCAGGGAACTCGTCGAGTGGTGCGCCGCAGAGTGGACCAAGGGCATTGACCTGTATCTCGTCTTCCTCGACGAGGGCGACCCGGACTGCGGCGTCGCCAACGTGCGCATCAGCTTCCAGGCAGGATCCTCCCACTCTGACGTCGGCGCACAGGGGACTGCCCCCGGGCAGGCCACGATGAACCTGGCGATCACCGAGAGCCATCACAGACTGGACGCGCGGCGCATGATCCTGCACGAGTTCGGGCACGCGCTCGGGTTCAGGCACGAGCACAGCTCGCCCAATTTTCCTTACCGCCTCGACAAGGACAAGGTCGTCGGCGATCTGGCCAAGTGGCAGCGCAAGGGCACCGAGGAAGCCGCGAGGGACTTTGAGATCAACTTCGGGCCGGACAAGACGGGCAGGAGGGTTCAGGCGTCAGAGTTTGACCCAAAGTCCATCATGATGTACCACATCCGGGCCCACTGGCACACCGGCCAGGTCGACCTCCAGCAGAGCTTCGGCCTTTCGCCCACGGACAAGAAATTTGCCGAGCAGGTCTACGGGCCTGCGCCGCCCGAGAGCGATTTGCATCGCTAAACCTAACGGCCAGGCTACTCGCAAGAATTGCAAGATCAGGTGGTGATGAAGCTTCTACAGTTGCTATCAAAAGGGAACACCAGGAAGGGATTTCATGCCGTCTTAGACCAGGCCTTGGAAAAAGTTGGCTTTCGCCAGAACAGAGACCGTTCCTGACGTACTCTGCCTCGTGGCGACTCCATGTTGGACTCTCGGGAATATTTGCAGGGAATCTGACCAGGTGGACTACCAGATGCGTTTTTTCGATAGTTCACCTTCAATGATTCGTAAAATGAACAGGTTTCAACAACTTTTATCATCAGATCTTTTGAATTGGCCCATTCTCAATGTTAACCTTCTCACTGGACAAGGTCATATCATGGGCGATGAGTGGTACAGGAAGACTAGCTGATCAAAGACTCGAAATCCTGGGTGCATCTTGTGCAAAGTTGTTCTGGTAGGAAAAAGAAAAGGCAAGTGGCAGTGGACGACAAGAGTACCTCCCAGATATCTCATGAGCAAAAAGGAACAAAAGCAAAAAAAACGTACAACACCAGGCATTCGCTGGTCGTCACCGACCCAACTACTACTCCGGCGATCAGCAGCTTATCTATGGGAGAGCGGACGGGATCCCGAGTTCTCTACTGTCTATGGTCGTACGTGGAAGGAGGTGGCTTGAGTTCAAATTATATCTTCATGTTGTGGAGTGGGGACGCTGGGGCAAGGGCATCGTGGAGACAGAGATTCGACTACGGATAGATATGTGGGTCAGATAGTTAGCCACTCTCACACTCTCTTGGAAGTGATGTCTTGCTGCAAGCATGAGACTACCTAGACGAAAGAGCATGTCGAAAGGCAGACGTCAACGTTGTCTTGCAGTCATCGTGCCGAGGTGGCTTCCTTGAGTTGAAAAAGCTTCTACAGAGAGACGTTTCATTGCAAGACAACCATAACTCGAACGATATTTGTTTGTACTTCTTTCACGAAGCGCAGTCATGAGATTGAACTTGGAAAAGTTAATATCTCTGAATGCCTTTGCTTGGATTCGGCCTTGAGACAGCACACTGATCAGCAACTCGCAAGCCAACTTTATTCAAATAGCTGTTATCACTGCCAGAGTTCCCCTCCGGGGGCTTCGAAACCGCATGGCGGCAAGGCACATCTTTTACTTTCTCTTGAATTCTTGTTATCAGCCATCTCCAAGAGAAAACTTCCTCTGGTGCTAAAAGTGAAGTCCGGGTCTCGGGATGGTTCCGAGCAGGCGCAAGATTGATTGGACAGAATCGACTTACAGATCATGGAGGCAAAAAGTAATGCCCCTTATCTAGCGTGCTTTAAGGATTCAAATTAGCACGGCAAGCTGGGCAATTCCAAGTCTTTAGCTACTCGTTGCGGGGGCCGTAACTTAGGCCGGCCGGCCACCCTCCGGGCCCCACTCTCCCACTTTGCTCCCCGGGATGCTCCCCGAGCACCTCAACTCCCCATGCCGACCCCGGAGTTACTCTTCCCCCCTCCCTCCTCAGATCTCCTCTTAAAAGGCCGGGATTCATAATCAGCTTTGTTCCTCAGATGAGATCTCTTGTCCTAGTGATCCTCGCCGTCCTCCTCAAACTCTGGTACTCGTCGCAATTCGCATCTTCCCAAACCAAATCAGACACAATGGCCTCCTGGAACCGCCTCATCCGCTTCGCCGACGACAACGGCAACGAGACGTTCGGCGAGCCCTGCATCTCCAACGAGGGCGAGCTCACCTCGCTGCTCGAGCAGGGCCAGCTCTACGCCGTCGAGTACAAGGGCGCCAGCCCAGTCTCGGCCACGGCCAAGGGCGACAAGATCCACGTCAAGAAGCTGCTGCCGATCCTGCGCCCGGCCGACGTCCCCATCATCCGCTGCATCGGCCTGAACTACATCAAGCACAGTACGTTGACCACATGTCATGAGATGAGAGACAAACTCACTTTTCCCCTCCAGAGAGACAGTGCGAGTAGTTAGCTAACACCAAACACAGTCCAGGAGGGCGGCCGCAAGCCTCCCCCGTACCCCTCCGTCTTCATCAAGCCCGCGACCTCGGTCGCCAGCTACGACGAGGACGTGCCCATCACCAAGATCGCCCAGGACGGCACCCTCGACTACGAGGGCGAGCTGGCGCTGATCATCGGCAAGACGGGCAAGGACATCCCCAAGGCCAGGGCCCTCGAGCACGTCGCCGGCTACGTGGCCTCCAACGACGTGTCCGCGCGCGGCTGGCAGCGCGACCCGGCCAAGGCCGGCGGCGTGCCGCAGTGGTGCTTCTCCAAGGGCTTCGACAAGTTCGCGCCCCTGAGCCCCATGATCGTGTCCCCCGCCGTCGTCGGCAACGCCAGCGACCTGCACCTGCAGACCTTTGTCAACGGCGAGGAGCGGCAGAACACGAGCACGGGCGACCTGCTGTTCGGCGTCGAGGACATCGTCAGCTTCTGCTCGCAGGGCACCACGCTCGAGGCCGGCACCGTCATCCTGACGGGCACGCCCTCGGGCGTCGCCATGGGCATGAAGGAGCCCAAGTACCTCAACGACGGCGACGTCGTCGAGGTCAGGATCAGCCAGCTGGGCGCCGTCAAGAACAAGATGCACTTTGAGTAAGATGTGTGTGGAGGGGAGAGGGGGGGAAATGTTTCATGTAATGATACCATGATTGAAAACAGATACATAGAATAAAGACAGTAAAAGCTTCGAGCATTCAAGGTGTGTCTACGTATGTTTGGTCAGCGAGTGAGATTGATCACGGCACCGAACAGCCGGCCGAGTGAATGAATGGCTGTTAAGCTGTCTCCGAACAAAGGAGAAATGAAGCGCATTGGGAAACCTCCAGCGGGAATTGGCGGTGCGGAACAGCGCAGTCCCACAGCGGAGCTCATCCCGAGACGGTTGGCCTCGGATCGCCGTGAGGTGGTGGTAGGGTAAAATCATGGATAACTAGCTGCGTATTGGCTCGCCTTTCGTTGACTTAGAAGGACCTGGGAACAGATAGAAACTTCAGCCACCCCCCATTACCTTCATAGTTGTAAGTTCGCCCTTCCGAAGCTTCTGTCCCCGCACTCGACATCGCCCAAGCTCCCCGAGTGCCCTCTTTAAGTACTTATTGCCTGCCAACCTGGGAGGCCAAAGAGGTTCCTACAGCCCATGTCGCCATTCTACGTACCCGTCAGCAAGCCAGCCTATCACAGCACCCCCAATTGAAAATCAGAAACTAAAATGCCGGCTCCGTACTCGGGAAAGTGCCTCTGCGGAGCGGTCTCGGTCGAGATCGCCAGCGAGCCGCTCGTTGTCCTGTCCTGCGGCTGCGACCACTGCCAAGTCGGCGCCGGAGGTGTCGCTCAGGTGGTAAGTTTTGCTATCTTTCATCAGTCCCTTTTGCATCGAACTAAGTAATTATTCACACTTTGTGCGCGCATTGCAGATTGGCAAGTTCGCCGAGAAGGATATCAAGGTCTCGGGCGAGGAGAACCTCAACACCTTCACCTTCTCCGACACGGGCAGCGGCAACCCCAAGGAGAAGATGTTCTGCAAGACCTGCGGCGTCACCATGTGGACTATTCCGGGAGCCGCAAAGGGCTCCGCCCGCATGGTCCGCACGGCGGTGCTCAAGGACGGCCTCGCGCTGAAGCCCAAGAACGAGATCTACACCATCAACAGGCCCGCCTGGGTCAAGCCCGCCGACGGTGCCAACCAGTTTGAGAAGTCCTCTCACTGAAAAAGTCCGTCCCGGGTTTGGGATTAGATTTCGGCAGCCGGGACTTGGGGGTCGGGGCGGAGAGCTGGACGACCGCCACGGAGCCGGGAAGAGCCGGCTATCTACGTAATGAATGTATGAGATATTCAGATATCATATTGTATCGCTTCCCACTGGCGTACCATATGTGAACAAGTGCTAGAGAAGGCAATACCAGAGGGCCCAGACCCGCCCTGTCTGATCTCCCCGTGCCAAAAGCTCGGAACCCTGACCGGGCCCACTTTCCGACGTTGGCTGCTCCCCGAGGCGTTTCCGTTCCGAGCTACCCCCTTGCTCCTCTCTTCCGAACGTATTACTTACACGCGATATCCCCATGTCCGAATGGCTCACCCGCATATTGCACTGGACGATGTATTGTATTCGGAGCACCAATTCTATGCCCATGGATCGGTAGCCATGTCAGAACCGGTGGCCGCCGCGAGCTCGCCGGGAGCCGCGCCGGAGCCGCAACCGGCGGACGCGGCGCCACGGCGGAAGCGGGTCAAGATCGATATCGCCTGTGATACGTGCCGCTCGCGCAAGGTGAGGTGCGATGGAGTCCGCCCGTCCTGTGGAACCTGTTCGCGAAGGTTCAGCCTGCGGGACAAGTGCACCTACTCCGGTGATGTCCAGCATGAAAGGACGCCCTTGCCATTGCTGTCGGGCAGTATCCGAGGGACGGACGAGTTATTGGGGGGTCGGCCTACTGCTCGACATGATTCCATGGAATCAAGTTTACACCGTATGAGGCCACCTCCTTTGACTGCCGCTCCAGACAAAGCGTCGCCGGGAGGGATCGCGAAATACCCAAGCTCAGGGGTGCCGGCGCCGAATTCTAAGTCGCGTCCCGTCCAGCAAGTGTCACCATCTGGATTAGGATTATCTCCAGCTGCACCTACCCCAGCAAGCACGATACGGAGTACGCATTCGGACGAACGGCGAGGAAGACACTCCGACACCAGCCCGTCAGCCATCGACTCCATGACTGCAGTCGCAGACGAGGGCACAAACACCTTCGAGTACTTTGGGAGCAGCAGCGCTGGGTCGTTCACGAGGCAGATCAAGGCCGCAATCGATGCTCGTCTGGGCGTGTCGGCGGCCACACCTGCCCAGCCAACGCCTACCCTGAGCGGCAATGGGCCACAGGACGCAATACTGGATGGCGCCAGCTACACCCTCCCGGCGAGGAGAGTCGCAGATCGCCTGATGTCCACGTACTGGCTCTACGTAGACCCTCTATACCCATTCCTGAACCGGAAGGTCTGGGAGCGCTCATACCGCGCCCTCTTCGAGGGGACGCCACTCCACACCGACGAGCGCATCTTCGTCACCATGCTCAACGTCATCTTTGCCCTGTCAACGCAGCTGCTCGAGGCTACGCATTCGGAGTACCGGGAGAACTCGAGCAATGCGTACTTCATCAACGCTCGGGACCTGCTACGGCTCGACCCCTGGGAGCCCGGGTCGCTCGAGCTGGTGCAGTGCCTGTTGCTCATGGGCCAGTACTCCCAGAGCACCAATAACCCGCACAAGACGTGGATGGTCGTTGGGAACGCGATCAGGATTGCTCAGGGTCTTGGGCTCCACTTGCCGGAGACGTCGGCCAATGTCGCCGATGCTGATGAGCGAGAGACGCTGAGGAGAGTGTGGTACGGCTGCGTCCTCATGGATCGGTAAGGAGACCAGAGGTGCTCCTTAATTGCAAATCGTCAAGCTGACATTCTCTAGAACTGTGTGCATGACCCACGGACGTCCAGCAATGGTCTCCGAGAACATCCCATCAGCGGTACCCATGCCAGTCTGGAGCCAACCAGGGTCTGGAAGTACATCCGCCACCGCATCCAACAAGTCGAGCCAGACGTATTTTGCTTTCTTCGTCAAGTCGGTCGAGCTGTACGAGATCATTCACCAGGCTAACCTGAAGCTTTACTCAGGCTCCGATTCCCGATCTGCCAGGAAGGAGGGCCCTCAGGCCTCGCACAGGGAAGCCGATGATGAGGACCTGGGCATCGTCATGCAGATCGACTCGTCCCTGAGCCGGTGGAAGTGCAGCCTGCCAGACCACCTGAAGCCCGACACCACGGAACTCCCCGACTCGGCCACTGTTCAACGGCAGGCGGTTATCCTCCGGATCCGGTAAGCCACCCTGACTAATCTCGAGCCGCTTGGATATTCTGTTTGACTGATTAACATAACGCTCAGGTTCTTGCATGCAAGGATCCTCCTCCTGAGACCGATCATGGCCCGCTTCTGTCTCGACCACGCCCCGTATCACCACGTATACGACAGTCTCAAGACGCGAGTCACCCAGCAGTGCGCCCTCTTCTGCGTGGAGACGGCCAAGAGGATGATTTCTACGCTCGTACAGTACCAGCAGAACGACGGCACGGTGGGCCTCCTCCCGGCCTGGTGGTACCGCGTGTACTACGTCTACTCGGCCGCCACGATCCTCATCGCGGCGAAGCTGCGTCCGGATGTCTTTCCCGCGCCAGACATCGCCCGGTCCTGGGAACAGGCCATGTCGATCCTCGAGACCCACGAGAGGTTCGGCCAGTCGGCGAAGAGGTGCGCCGCGGCTCTGCACATTTTGTCGACGAAGATATTGCAGGATACCCAGACCTGTGAGAATCCAAGAAATGGCGCGGGTCTGGCGGGGAGTGGCGAGCGACCTGCGACCCTGGTAGATTCCGGAACCGCATTTTCTGGACAGGTGGACGAGAATACCTTCTTTGGGCGGTCAGACCTTGCTGGCATCTCTTTCGATATTAACGACTTTACATGGCTCAATGATATGCATGCCTGGGAGCTGCTGAACCAGGCATAGATCCATTTGTATCAGTCCTGCTTTTCGCAAAACTTCGAGATACCCCTAGTCACTGAGATGACAAGCCATTCCAAGAATTATTTGCGATAGAAACCTCAGAAGCCCCAAGTTAGCGGGAAATACATCCAGGAAAAGAAAGAAAGAAACAAAAAATCTAAAGTCAACCCTAATTGTACATCCCCTTCTATGCTCGACTAGCATACTTCGCTATCTGCTCGATCAGGTCGCAGACCTGTTATGGCACGGCTCATATTGCACAAACCTATTATCTGTGATGTAAGTGTACACATCTCTATACACCATTGATGAGGAGAAAATTACACAGAATATTCGCAACTGGAAGGGAGCATGCCGCCTGCATTTCTCAGCAGCTGTACAACTTCCTTGTGTTCTCGCCTCACAGCATATGACAATGGTGTCTGGAGACCGTGCCAGCGAGTGACGGATTCCGAATTCGGGTGGACCCTGCCCGTGTTTAGTAGCAATAGAACGACCTCCCCGTGCCCGTTCTCTGCGGCATATGATAGTGGTGTTCGACCCCTGTAGTCCTTGGAGTCGGGGTCGACTCTACCTGTGTCCAGTAACAGCTGCAATATTCTTTGTAGCCCCTTCTCTGCAGCATATGACAGTGGTGTACGGCCCTTCTCAAAAGCACCAGTATAGCTGGAGTCGGGGTTGACTTGACCTGTGGCCAGCAACAATTGGACAACAGCATTATGCCCACTACGTGTAGCCAATGACAGTGGTGTGCGGCCCGAGGAGTCCATGGAATCAGGATCGATGCCGTCTTTCTCTAGTAAGAGTTTGACAACAGCCTCATGCCCATTCCATGCAGCCATTAACAGCGGTGTTTGGCCCGAGTAGTCCATGGAATCAGGATCGATGCCGTCTTTCTCTAGTAAGAGTTTGACAACAGCCTCATGCCCATTCCATGCAGCCCATGACAGTGGTGTGCGGTCCAAGCAGTCCTTGGAATCAGGATCGATGCCGTCTTTCTCTAGTAACAGTTGGACAACAGCCTCATGCCCTTTCCTTGCAGCCAATGACAGTGGTGTGCAGCCTGAGGAGTCCTTGGAGTCAGGGTCGATGCTGCCTGTGGCCAGCAACAATTGCACGATTTTCTCGTGCCCTTCCTGGGCAGCGAATGAGAGTGGCGTTCGATCTCTAGTACCCAACCCTGGCTCCCGCGAATCAGTGGCAACCTTTCCTGTATCGAGGAGCACTTGCACAATTTCTGTTTTTCCGCTTTCCGCGGCACAAGATAGGAGAGTTCGACCACGGTCCTTGGAATTGACTGCTGTATCCTTCTTCAAAGACAAAAGAAGAGCGAGTAACACAGAGTCATCCAACTCTACTATTTGAGATATGACCGTCCTCGATTTCATAAATCTAAAATTTCGGCCAATTCTCTTGGGTTTCTCACTTCCCTCGAGATACCGTTGACAAAGAGGTTGGAGAGATCCTGGCGGAAGGCGATCGATGTTGGTGTCCACAAGCGCCCGGACTGTTTCATCGGTGCCGGTAGCGAGCGCGGCAAATATAGGTGTTCCATATCGCTCATCTTCCACGTCGAAGCAGGATTGGTCTGTATCATATTCTCTGATCAAGCTCGGCGAGCCGTACTCCGCCAGAAGATAAAGTAGGCTCGCGTCCGGGCTGTGGCGGCGTACATCGGCGTCTTCGAACAGATTGAGGATGAAAAGCCAGTCACGTCTCTGAAAACTTGAGAGAAAATCTGTCTGCTGTACTTGACCAGACTGTGCTTCTTCGACGTGATAAAGGATATTTTGTGCGGCATACTTCAGAAAGGGAAAATCTTCGCTTGTCTTTGCCCTCAGAGCTTTGGCTTCAGCAGACTTCGCGTCCGGAAGCGGGTCGTCAGGGTCCATTCGACGTACGTCAAGCATTTGCATATACGCAAGGCAGCAGCCTTTCAACTGGTTGTGACTCAGACCTTGGAAATTTTGTCTCAAGTGAGGCCAAATCGTCTCGATCCCATCGTTTGCTAAGAGAAAATCCCTGACAGATTCATGAATGAATTGAGTACTGGGAACCTTCGACCTTGTGATCTCGACCAATCCCTTCGACGAGTTCAGGATGGATCGTTCCACGGTGTCCAGAGAGATCTCATCAGGGTCCCATTTCGAAAGCTCTGACGGGTTAGTGCCTGACAGGATGGCACAGTACAACTGGGCTGGACTGAGAGGCTGTCTCGCAAAGAGCACCCATTGTATGCAGAGAAGCAATTCGTCTTTGTTTTTCTCATCTCGCACCAGTATATCGCGGAAGAGTGAGTGCAGATCGGTAGGTAGGGTTTTCAGCTTGGCCTGAAGGTGGCGTGGAGCGCGGCCTCGATCGTGTTCCTTGTTCAGGATCTCGACCACCAGGACGACCCACATGAAAACACCAGCAGCCTTTTGGCGAATGTCTTCCTTGATCTGGACGGCAAGTCGGCTTTGACCAATTGCGAGCTGCTTATGGGTGTAAGCCACGATGTCTTCCTCGTGTCCTTCCTGTCCCTCCAGCACTAGACTGAGACCCTGGCCGCAAGTGATGTGAGGGTAATGTCTGCTCGAGAAGAAGACGCGGAATTGGACGTGGTGTAATATCGCCAGCTCTCCTAGCCTCCGGAGAAAATCGACCATGTCGCGAATCGAAGCTTCATCGCATTCGTCCAAGGCGTCTATGAAAAAGACCACAGCAGACTGTCCAAGCAGACAGATCACGTCCTCAAACAGATCTTTGAGTCGCTCAACAGTCCAAGTCAAATTATGGATGCTGTTGATGTCTGTGAAGCCAAGCGATTGGAGGGAGAGCTGTAGTTCTTCCCGTCCTTCTAGGAGCTGGACCAGGAGGGATCGGTACATGCCGATAGTCGACTTTTCCAGATCAACTCCTCGTGCATGGAAGAAGAATGAAATGATGGACCAATCTTTGTACTTCTTCCGTGTCTTGTCCAACACAAATTTCATGATGGTCGACTTGCCTGCTCCAGGCTTCCCCCTCATCCAGATAAAGCCTTGGTGTTCGGCAAGTTTGTCGGGGTTCAGCCAGTCGAGGTACTCGGACTTTCGCAATAACCAGCTACAAGTCCGAAGATGCGGTCTCTTGATGTTGGTCAGACGCGCATCAATCTGGTCAAACCTGAGAGAGTCCAGTAGAGCCGCTCTGATATCTCCGCTGAGCAAGCTGTGTTTGGTTGGTGCTGGGCTTGCTGACAATGACGATGCCGGCCCGTGATCATGCCTGAATGAAGATGTCGTGGAAGGTGCCAAGTGGCTCAAGAGATCTTTGGCATACGCAGCAGCCGCCAATGCTGCATACCCTTGCCATCCTTTGTTCTTGTGCGAGTCGGAGTAGTCGCAAATGCCACGGATCACCAAGCAACGGAAATTGTTCATCAGCCCAGCAGCCTCCATCTCAAAGCATAGAACGTCCTTGCCACTTGCAAGCTTGTCCCGCGACAGTGCATCCTTCATCACTTGATTTGCCGAGGCGATCAAGCCATAGTGGACGACCAGTGCCTCCTCCTCGGTGCGTTCTTCTCGGCGGATCATATCGGAAGTTGAACTACCGCATGCATCCACGCAACTTCTATCATCGCCCGTAGGATGCTCAATATGGCTGATGTATAAGCGATCGGTAGAGGTATTCGGCCGTGAATAGCTATTTCGCAGTCGAGGTGACCGGTCAAAAAGAGCTGCGATGGTATTCTGGATACCGCAGCCCTCGCTCATATGTGTACATTTCAGAGCGCTCACTGCCGTTCGTAATCGCCTTGGAGGCTGGTCTAAAAACCCTGTCATATGGAAACTCCGGTTCTGCACTGTCTTGCCAAAGTCGTATTGAAACACACCGCCATGGCCATCTCGAGGTTCACTCACGACGACATCGCCTAGGCGTATGTCGTGCTTTGAGCTCGGTGCGCCGCCACCAACTCCCACCATAAGACGGATGTCAATACACGGAAAGCTGCGTTCCAAGTCTCGCGCGGCGATCGCGGCAGACGCCGTGCCATATTCTCCGCTGGGCAGTACAGCGATAACGACATTATGCTGGCCTATCCTTCCGAGGGTATACTCGTTGTCGTCATGTGGTATATGGCCAGGCTTTTCGTGTACCTCGTCGAGGAAGGCTTTGGCCGCACCGAGCTCAACGGGGATGGCGCATATCCATCCGACTGTGTAGTCTTCGCGGGCGGGTTGCAGGCAGCTTGACCTGAATCGCTTTTCGGCGACGAACTCGACATCCGAGCTGCCCTCTCGGAAAGCTCTCTTAGACATTACGAGATCCGGCAGCGAGCATCGAAAACTGATGTCCTGAGACACAGAAACTGGCCAGACAATGCGGCGCAATAGGGTCCAAGTATTGAATTTTGAGGAAGGAAATAGAAAATACCGAGTGCCAGCAAGAGAAGGAGATTCTGCCGTCAGATATGAGTGTTTTCTTGCGTATCGGAAAAGAAAAGGAGAAAATCCTTTTCAGCCTTGTGGTGAGCCCGTTGGCCAGTTGTCAGGCGGACACCTCAGGCCGCAGTGCATGTGCTGCAGCAAGCAGGCCTCAGCCACCATCCAATCAAGGCACATCCCATTCATACACATTATTTCTGTGTGAAGACTGGCCAAAATGCACTTTTGAGTCCCGAGATGGAGAGGTCGAGGATGAACTCACAATCCAGGTGACGTTGGCCTGGAAAGTGGGGAGGCTCCATTAGCCAAATAGGTACCTGAAGCTACACCAGACATGCACCAATCTCTAGGTTACTTTCTGATATCAGTTGTTCATGCCATTTCGCACATGTATGGACATTCTCACGCAACAGCCCCGAAGGCATCTTTTCGACATCATTCAGTAGCATGTCTTGACCGCGGCCTGGTCTTGGGCGTCCGGGAGCGTTTGAACTGAACACTGCACGTCATTGACTCTTCTCGCTTTCAATGATTCTCGTTTGCCAGGCGGATCGGTGACGAAGCGCTTGACTCGGCGGCGTAGGATGCTGCTTGATGCAGCCCCTCACATCGCGATAACCTCATCCAAACTCTAAGTCGAGAGGCCATCTCATCAAACCCTCGGACTCTCTCGAACCGTTCACATCTTTCCTCCTCTCTCAAAGCAACCTCTCCCGGGAGATGGCGTCCCCATCCCCATCCCCGCACAACAACAACCTCCCCTCCCCCGCATCCTCCTCATCCTCCCCAGCGCCGCATCCCTCATCCGCACCCGCGCCCGTCACCACCCCGGCAACGCCGGCCTCCATCCCCCAGACCCTCTGGCGCCTCCGCGTGCCCCTGCACATAACCCACCCGTCCCGGCCCAACACGCCCTTCGTCGCCAGCGTCCCGCGCTTCTCCTACCTCGCGCTGCTCCTGCCGCGCCTGCGCGCCTTCTTCGGCGCCGACGACTGCTCCAGCTTCCACCACGAGGAGGTCCAGCTGCGCAACCTGCCCGTCGGCCTGCTGGTCGACATGCACCGCCCGCAGCTGCCCTGGCGGCTCGTCGTCGGCGACGGGGACGAGTGGCACATTGGCGACACGTTCCTCAACGGGGCCAAGGAGGTGAGTGAGCTTTGCCTGCTACCCTGCAAGCTGTTTTGATAATGATGATGATCATGATGAGGACCTGGTTGCTGACCGGATGGGCCTGATGAAAAGGCGGACTTCGTGCGCAACGGCAACGCAAAGCAGATCATGGGCATGTCCAAGGAGGACACCACTGCTCTGTGGAACGCCGTGCAGGATAGTACGTTGCTCCCACCGGGTCAACCCTTCCGCAGATCCGTGACAAAAGACTGACCTCAAAGCAAGACGACCACGCCTCCTTCGCCCGCATAAACACACGCCTGCTCAACGCGCCCACGGCGCTCAAGCACATCCCGCTCCGGATCTACATCCCCTCCCCGGCCCCGCCCACCGACGGCGGCGGCACGACCTCCCCAGCGACAGCCGGCGAGTTCAAGGTGATGCAGGTCCTCGTCCCGCCGCGCGTGGCCGCCAACAACCGTAAGCCTCCCTCCTTGTTGCCATTCTGTTTATCCATCCCTTCCTCCGTAAATCTCCTAATCATTGCTGATGCAAGAGGAACGAACGTATGTGACGAAAACAGGCAACCAGCAGCAGCCGCAGACGCTGGGCCCGGCCCTCAAGACCCTCCTGCCGGCGCTGTTCCCCAGCAGCCGCGACCCCGTGCTGGCCGGCGTCGTCATGCACGGGGCGCCCGTGCCCTTCTCGGCGCCGCTCGAGGAGCTGATGCGCGAGGCCGCCTACCCGGACGGCTGGGTCTGTCTGATTGTGGAGCTGCTGTGACAAACCCCAAGAATAGCGGAAGAGAGGGTGGCGAAGCCGTTGCGGGTTTTGGTCAAGGATGTCCTGTCTAGAAACCGGACAAGATCAAAGTCAGAGTGGGCATTCAGCATACACAGCCAGGCGTTCAAGGAGTCACAACAAATTCACATTGTACACATCACAAACATTCTCAAGCTCGTACAACAACAACAACAAGTTGGCAGAATCATAAAGCTTTATATATGATATGATGGATGATCAACGCCAAGGCCAGGCTCGCACCCGGCATCCATTCGCTCGCGCCTGTGGAAACAAGGATCCACGCAGCAGCATGTAGCGTCGGCTTTGGCGGCCGGCATCAACGGCGGCAGCATTCGTGATAAAGGGGGGGAAAACGCCGGCAGCCAGCTCGCTCTAGTGTATACAACCAACCAAGAGAGAGAGAACGGCATCGCCGTTTCGTCCTTCTCTCTTTCGCTTCCCTCTTCTCGCCCCTGTCTCTCTCTCTCTCTCTCTCTCTCGTTCTATCGACCTTCCAACGCTCGAAACCCCTCCTCTCCCTGCCCTCCTTCTTTCCCTGGCCACCCATTCCAAGTTCCTTCCAGGCCAAGAAGACATCAGAGCGTTCGTCTCCGAGAGAGGGAGAGGGAGAGAGAGCCAGAGATAGATAACAAACCACCAATGATATAAACCAAAAACACTCGCAACAAGGTATGGTATCGAAGAAGGGTATTTGCGCAGGCAAGAGGGGAATCAAGTGAAAAGCCCTTTGTCGTTTTCGATTTGCGATAGTTGCGCGCCGCCACAACGGCACACACGCGTTGTAGTAAAAAAGAGATTTGTAAAAACAAAGCCCCCCCCCCCCCCCAGGTTTCGAAGGGGGGGGGGGGGGGGGGGGGGGGGGGGGGGGGGGGGGACTTTTCGGGTACGAGTACATGATGATGTGATAAAAAGAGATCCAAAAAAAAAAAAACAGCTAGTATGTGGTATAAGACGATGCAATAACCCAAGATGATCAGCAACGTTGCTTGGCGACTCGTGAGAAAAAGCCCCCAAGATCACCAAGTAGAGTAGAGCTCTCGTGTCGTAAGAGTCCCAAAAAAAAAAGACAGCTAAGCCAGCCCAATAAAAAAAAACGCGGACAAACACACTTTCCAACAGAGAGACAACCACGCACACAGATACACACAACACACAGAAGCAACACACAACACACACACATATGCAAGAATCCCCCCATCTCCGATCCAATATCGTCCCTCATCCATGGCGTCGCTGTCCAAAAAGGAGGTTCGTTTTGCTTATGTTTTTCGCGCTCGCAAAGGTGTGTTGAGGGGGGGGAATCCAGTGTAAAAAAAAAAAAAAACGTATTCGTTGGGAAAAATAAAAAGACTGATGACATGTATATTCGAGAGTCAAAGAGTAGAAAAAAAAACACACATGAGATGAGAACAAACGCCGTAGGTGTGTGTCTCTCTTCTTCTTTCGGATCGAACGGTTTGCGAGTTTTCCAAAGGCCCGTTTCCGTTATAGACGATGTAATTCCGAGGGCAGGGCGGTATAAAAACTTTGCTGCTGTCGCGTATGTTGTAAACAAGGAAAAATCCGGAACTGCTTTCCCAACGCCTCATATGATGATGATGGTTTGTTGTTGTGGTGGTGATATATGCTACAAGGGGATGGGCGATGATTTGAGAAGAAGAAACGCAAAACAGTAGGACCCTCCCCGCCTTAATTTCCTCCTCTTTTCCCTCACCGTCCATTTTCTCTCTCTTCCTTTCTTCCTTCCCTTGCTTTCCCATTTCTTTTCGTCTTTCTGACGACGCGTTTTTTCGTTTCGGTCACTTACTTTCCCAAGAAAGAAGGGCCGTTTGGGTATCGACGTGATGCTTTGTGTGTATCGGGCAAACAAGAAAAAAAAAAAAAGAAACATAATAATATTAAGCATTCTTTCGTATCGGGGTGTGTGGTAGGTGTTAGACACAAGACACAATTCTCATCGCCCATCGGGGGGTCTCCGACTGTCGCCGTACGGCGGCGGGAGGTGCTGCGGCGGCAGCGGCGGCGGCGGGAGGTGCGGGTGCGGGTGCCCATGCGCATGCGGGTGCGGCGGCGGCTGCTGCCAGTGCTGCTGCTGCGGCGGCGGGGGAGGGTGCCGCGGGAACTGCTGCGGCGGCGGCTGTCCCTGGACGGGCGAGTGCTGCTGTGCGCGGGCCCCGTCGGCGACGACGGGCGGCAGCTGGTGCGGGTACGACGTCGGCGTGATGGGCGGCGGTGGCGGCGGCGGCAGGGGTCCGCCCCCCGTCCTGTCGCTCGAGAAGCTCGAGCTCGAGCCGGTGGTGGTTGCTCCTCCTCCTCCGCCGCGGTGGTCGGCGGCCACGACCTCGGGCCCCCACTCCTCGAGGAGCTTGCGCTCGAGGCCCTTGAGGATGTTCATGTCCTGCGTCATGGAGCTCGACGGGTGCGAGACGAGCTCGAAGAACTCGATCGTGCGCGCGAAGAGCTCCTTGAGGACCGCCTTGTTGATGTGCGGGCCCACCGTCGGGTCGTCGCTGGCCGCGGCCAGGATGAGCAGGTTGCCCCATTGCCTGTTTGTTTGTAAAGTTTTCACCATTTCGTCAGCTAATCTATTATTGCATTTTGACTTTTTTTTTCTTGGGAGAGAGAGGGAAGAAAAAAAGAGAGAGAGAGAGAGAGCCATATATACTGTTGGCTCTATGCGAGACATTCAAAAAAAAAAAAAAGCACTTACGCGTGAGCAGTCCCAAAGACATTGGTGATGATGAACCTCTTCTCCTGCAGCCCGTGGAAGGAGCGGGTGCTCTCGATGAGCGCCTTGACGGCCAGCGTCGCACACCTGGTCATGTCGTCCGAGATGACCTCCGAGGGCGGCGCGTCCGGTCGGAGGTGCGGCACGTCGACGTCGTGCCTGTAGTCGCCGGGCATCGTCTCGATCATGTTGTTGGCCTTGGACGGGTCGCCGTTGCTCTCCGACATCCTGTGGTTGAAGAGCAGGATCTGCCGCAGGAACGGCCGATACAGAATGGCCCGCGCGCCCCAGTACTTGGCGCGTAGACGAGCCGACAAGATGTCGGTGGCCGGAGGATCATCGTCGGTGAACCTAAAGTGCGGCGGGACCCATTTGGGGGGTTCGAGCGAGCTCTGCAGGGACGCAAAAGTGGGATTATTCTCCATAGGCCCACGGTCCTGCTTCGGGTTTGACGCGTCGTAGAAGGCCTTGTGGATTTCGTTGAGCCGCTTCCGGAGGAAGAGCTGGGCGGAGTAGCTCTCGAGCACGTCCGGGGTGAAGCCGTACAGCTCGGCGACCTGGTTGTTCGGGTACGGCATCTTGTCCTCGTAGGCCAGGATGCCAGACGGGGGCAGCTGCAGCTCGGCAAGGATATCGCTCTCCAGCTGCAAGCAAGACCAAAAGGCAAAGACGAGCTGGTTATCCCTCCGCGAGTGCACCTTCTCGAGCGTCGGGTTCAACCGCTGGAAGCGGTCGAGATGGGGTCTCAACAGGCTCTGCAGCGTCCTGCCCGCCATGGCAATGTGCTCCAGGCTCTGGAGCGGCCGGCCGAGCTGCCCAAAGTAGAGGCCGGCGAAGATGCTGACCCACACGTGTTTCAGCGTCTTCCCGCCAATGTGGTTGCCGATGATGTCCGTGGCCACGGCAAAGTATTCGAGGCCGGGAATGACGTCCAGGTTCCTCTTCATGCTGTGGCTGCCCCGGGCCGGCGTCGGCGGCGGGCCCTGGAAAGAGGGCCTCCGGCTCATCGAGGTCCGGTCGTCACCGCGCGGCGAAGGGAGCCCCGAGGACTGCGAGTGCGTCTGATAGCCCGGGGGCGAGCCTTGGCTGGGCGACGCCGGGTGTCCATTGCGCGCAACGGGCGACTGGTGGCTGGGCGCCTCGCTCTCGGCCACAACATCGGGGAGCTTGCCGTGCTTGTGCAGGCAGATCTTGCCCAGGGCCAGGACGCAGAGGATCAGGGCCGTGTCCATGCTGCGAAACGGCTTTCCGGGCTTCTGCGGCGTGTTGATCGGCTCCGGGATGTCCGCACCGGCCGCCGGGGATCTCTTCCTCTTGTTGCCCGTTTCCACATGCTGGTCGGGCATAGGTACGAATCTCGCCTGCGGGGGCGCCGTCGTCTTGATCTTGGTGTTGCTCGTGGGGATGGTCTCCAGGAACAGCCTGGTCATGGCTTGCAGCTCTTTGGGCGGGATCAGGGGGTGCATGTTCTGGATGTTGTCTTCGAAGCTCTTGACGTACTTCCAAACCTCATTGTGATCAAAGTTGAGATCGCCGTTGGAGCGAAGAGGACCGCCCTTCAGATCGACCGAGTTGGGCGGACTAAGACCGCCCGTCTGGCCCCAGACATCGCCCGGTGACGGCGATGAGATATCAGACATGTCGTCCGAAATATCGGCATGCGACGCACCGATCTGGCCATAGTCTGCGGGGGTGTCCTTGTCGACTTTGCTCTTCTCCAGTCCTTCTCCACGGCCAAACACCCGCAAGAGCCCGCGCTGCTCTTCCTGGCGAATCGGGTACTCGCCCGGATACTTGATGCCCTCGATCTCCAGGAGGCGACCGACCTTTTTGGCGATAGGCGGCCACGTGAGGAGCAAGCCGGCCAAAGTCGTGTGGTGCACGGGCATGGCAGGTTCGCCTGGGGCCACCGGAGGGCCGGGCACGATTTCCATTTCGTCCTCGGTGTTGGCGAGCCGCAGCAACCGATGCGCCTCGTCCAGGGTCAACGGGACGCCCGCGGAAGGCGCACTGCTCCCTGCAGCCGGCTGGACCTCTTCGGGCGAGTCGTACATCTCGTCGCGGTGCTTTTCGTCCGCGGGCGATCCTGGCTCCTTGATGTGTTTGAAATGATCCTCAGTGGGCAACTCGTGGTCAAACTCGACACCAGGACGGAGATAGCTCAACACCCTTTCCAGCCTCATCAGTCGCTTGTCAACGTCACCTCTAAAGTCTCTATGCGCGCTCGCCAGTCTCTCAATGCCCTCCAGAATCTCTGAACTAATCTTGTCTTGCCTAGATGGGGGGAGAGGGTTGTATAGCCCGGTCAGCAAAGGAGGCGTCGTCTAGAATATCGCAGAACAGCTATCCCTGTAGCGAGAACTCACGCTTTTGGCACAGGATCTCGATATTTGCACTCGATGTTCTTCTCCCTGCAATTCTTGCAGGGCTTCGTCTCGTCGCACTTGGCCTTGAGCGACCTACAGCTGTCGCAAGCCTAGAATATGAGACAGGTTTCGTGGTCAGCGAACGGAAACAGGTCCTCCCGCGCGCAGGTACAGTCAGTCCCCTTTCTGCGCCGCCCGCGCCTCTGTTACCAAGGCGTGCGTGTGCGCAAGACATAAAAAAGCGACCTACCTGCGATGCCCGCTGCGTCTTCCGCTTCGCCGTGGTCGAGTATTGTATGGGGTACATCTGGTCGTGCGGACCATTGTACATGGCGTAGTCGTAGGGCTGCGGCTGGGGACCCGGCGTGGGCGGCGGGTAGCTGGGGTCGTGCTGTCTGTACATCTGGGCTGGAGGGGGCGGATGGGGCGCCGGCCCGGCGTCGAAGCTCATGTGTCGTCTCTCTTCGGTGTGCGGCTGCGGGGGGAGGTGGCCATGAGGGGTGCCGGGCATCTCGGGCACGTTGCCGGTCGAGTGAGGTCGGCGCAGCTGGGGCAGGGTGTCTTCGGCAGGGTCGCGCTTCACCATGGGATCTCGCGGAGGGTAGGCCGAGTAAGGAGGATGCGCCGGGGAGGGAGGAGGTTGTCGATGCTCTTGTATGGGAGGGAAGTGGTCTGGTTCATGGTGGCGGTGGCCATCGTAGTGCTGGGGCGCTGGTGGTAGAGGAGGAGGAGGAGGATGGGGATCCGAGGGGCGAGAGAAGGGATGAGGAGGGGGTTGATATTGGCCTGGAGGCGTGGGGTGGTGAGAGGTCGGAGGCGCCGCGGGATTGGGGAGGGAGACACCATGATGAGAGGGAGCCGCAGACCATGACGAGCCAGCCGAAAGACGGGGCCGCTTGCTCTCAGGCCCTTGGTCCATGCTTGCGGCTATGTATGGAAGTACATTAATACAACAGGATGGAGCAAGAGATGCAAGCAAGCGAACGGTGTCGGGCAGTAAGCGCAGGACGGGCGGCCATGGAATGGGCAGCAGTAGGGGAAGAGGTATTCTGGTAGAGCGAGTGACCCAGGCGAGGGCGAGTCCGGGTAACGAGAGCGACCAGCCCCGGTGGGCATGCGGAACCAGGAGGACGAGTGTCAGAGGGTGAGAGGGCAGAGGGGAGAAAAGGGTACCGAGAGGTCCTTCTCCTCACTCTGTGTGGTATGCTCTGGTACACGGAGCGAGTAAGGCGTGGGAGGAAGGGAATACGTGAGCAACAGGTCACGGTATGGAGCGAGGAGATCGCTCTGGGATACCTGGGCCGAGTCCTAATTGGTCGCGCAGGAGCAGCCCGAGTTGCTTGGTAGAGCTTCGGCAGACAGCCGCGAGCGTTAGAGGAACCCACACTTCGCCTCAGACGCTGGGATGGGAGACGGGGGGAGGGGGGTGTGTGAGAAGGGAGAGCAGCAGGAGCGTGAGTGTGTGTGAGTGGTATTCGCCTTGCCAAAAGCTTCTTCCCTCGTGGGAGGACAAGAAGGGATCAGCAGTTGGGCAGCGACAGAACAAGCTACGCTTGGTCTCTTGGTGCTTCGTTTTTTTTTTTATTCCCTGGTGTTTGCCCTTTTGGCGGCACCACACCTTTCTGGGTCCCTCGTTTCGCCCCTGGTGCTGGGAACAGGTACCGGGAGAGTGGAGAGGCCGATGATTGCAGAGAAATAGTCCCCGGAGTGGGCGGTCTGCTGGGGACGGGGACGTTCCACCCAGAGGCAGTGTGTGTGTGTGTGTGTGTGTATGTGTACTTGTATGTCAAGCAAGGTCTAGAAGACAAGCAGCAGCCATGCAATGTGTAATCCGAGGCGAGCAGAGGAGGGAAAAGGCGGGCGGCGGTCAACAACGGCGAGGAGGAGGGTAGTATGGTCCAGTCTGAGTATGGTCAAGGTAGGTATTCTAGACCGGGAGCGAGGTTTGACCCGCGGGAGAGAGAGAGAGAGCACAGAGAGGGCAGGGAAAACGCCAATCGAGAGGTGAAGGAAGCCCTGCAATTGGATCGCCTGCCAGCTCCGTTTCTCTCGTCTGGTCTGGTCTGGTCTCTCACTCTTCCCACTCTTTGCCTCTTGCTCGCGCGCCAAGCAGCAACAAGGAAGCAGAGCAAGCAGCAAGCAAGCAAGCAAGCAAGCAAGCAAGCAGAGAAGAGCAGGACAGAGAGCGCCAGCAGCGGAGCCGGGGACTTCCTGGGTATGGCAAGGTTGAGATGTGGATTAAGGTAGGGGGGGGCAATCGATGGATGGGGAGCTACCTAGATCCTGGGAGCGCCAGGTGCGGTAAGTGTGCCGCCAGTCGCACGTCGCTTCCATGTTCCCAAGGAGATGTAGGTACCTACCTAATGTAGGTATGTAGGTAAGGCAGGTACTTTGTAGACACACAGTGCCCGGTGCGCCAGGGTTTCATAATAGCGATTCCTACAGGTACATTAGTGACTGCTTGTACGGGAACAGGGCAGAACGCGAAGGGTGGGGCAGGTAGCTAGCTACCTAGGTAGGTAAGTACCTACTCCGTAGGCAGCTTGAAAAGGGAAAAGAGCCCAGCGCCACGAACGGCGGAATTTGCGTGAGAGTGGGGAGGGAACATTTGCTTCGACGGCCGGCGTGGCTCCTGGCAGTTAGTCCTGTCGGGACGGCTAGGTACGAAGTAGGTCTGCGATATGCGATGCGCCACCGCTGGGGCTGGGGCTGGGGCTGGGGCTGCGCGCTCGCGGTGTGTCTACATGGACGGACGGGGTAGTTACCTAAGGTAATGTAGGTAACTACCTAGGTACGTACAAGCCCTGTCGAACGAACAGGTTCATCATCTAACTATCGCTGCGGGTATGCTTTTTTTCTAGTCTGTTTGCCTGTCTGTGTAGCAGAGGCTAGCTATAGCTCATGCTGTGCGCCTTCTCGAAGGGCTGGGCAGGGCGGCACAGAGTGGGCGTGAGCGACATGAGCAGACATGGGCAATCCAAGGAAAAAAATAAAAGTGGCAGGGCTGGACCGATGATATGGGCCACGGTGGTGGTGATGATGATGTGCAAATCATGGCGTTGGCCGTCAGTGAGGCAGGTAGGTACATTGTAGTTAGTAGTTAGCTGTCAGTTGCTGGACTGACTGGAAATGCGAGCAAGTGGCTGCAAGAAAAGTAGACGGATTGCTAACAGAAATACATCAGATCCTAACATAGGAACCAGGGGCCCTGGCATTTATGACTCTGCGATCTTCTGAATTTCCCCTCAGAGTGTTGATAGACATGCACTGAATGGCTATCGTTTACTTTGGGCCCATAAAAGCCAGTGAGAGGTATTGCCACTGATCGAGGTGTTAGGTATGAAGTACTCCTTGATGGAAATCCGTCTACTTTTCTTGCAGGCACTTGTGCGAGTTACCTATGTTGGCTCGCTAATAAGCCCCCCGTCTTTCTTTTTCTCCGCCTCCGCTCATCTACAATACATGCCAGTCTGGGTCTCTCTTTTTCTCCCTGTGCAGAAGAGATGATCACCACCTGCGACGCTGCGGGGAAATTTGGGAGACGTGCCCACAGGAGAAGAGTCCGGCTTGCTGCAAAATGCAACGAATCGGGCTCTCACATAACGTGCTCGACGTATCAGAACGGGCAGCGCGCGCTGCCAATGCAGCACCACGAGGTAAGCAGCCGCCAAGTGCATACGAGCAGCGCGCCTTCGATGGGATGGGACGGGAGCATCTCATGCACGGTCTGCTTAGTGCTTTTGCAAGTGACTGACTGGGGCCTCTCTGGTGATGGCCTAGCCTCGCAATTGGCACAGTCATCTCAATGACCAGAGCAAGGTAGCTTTGGGGGGGAAAGGGAGGGGAAGCTTTTGGAGCCAATCCGTCCAGTGAGAAGTCAGAAGCGATAGATGCGGGGAGCTTGTCGCGGAAAAGAGAGAGGGTGACAGAAGTCGTCGTCGGGAGGGGGAGATAGAATGCTACACTGACTGGCTGACTGGACTGGGCTGGTGGCAGAGCTCTTGACCGGCTGGGTGGGCAGGGGACAGGGGTGCTTGCATATTGACGATTGATGATGGAGGGTTGGTTTGAGGTTTGCCGACGTTGGCCAGTGTGGGCGGCGTGCAGCGAGAAGTGTGTGTCTGGCGTTGCATGGTCAGCAGCACAGTGGATGGGCAAGGAAGAAGAAAAGTGAGGACTTGTACATAGGAAAGGGACATGAGGTCGCGAAACGGAAATCGACAGGCCGCTCTAGGCCATGGATATCTCATTTGCTCCATGCATACACTCTCTCAGACTACCACGCGGCCGTGGAGATTCGACCGGAAGCGACCGTTGCGGGCGAGTAACAGCAACCAGACCGGAAGAGAGGAAACGTGCAGAACCCTTGTCATTTCCACCGTCGACAACCAGAAACTTGGGGCGCCATGTCTCAAAGCCTCGCCTTGCCTCGCTGCATCAGCCGTCCGCCAATCATTTCCCAACCGCCGTTGTTCTTATGCAAAAGCACAGTAGATCTATGTACCAGGGTAAGTACCCTTCGCATCTTTGCTGCAATCTGTAGTAATATGTAGTAGAAGATTGCCGGAATTGCGGACAAGAAGAAAGGTGTTCTCCCGAATCGAAAACGATGGCGGTCAGAAGCAAGTGTCCAGCCCACTCACACTCTCCACAAACTTCCCTTCGATTACTTGTACAAGTAACTAGTTGGGTCCCGAGGCCAGTCCCTACTTGTACGTACCTAGTCTCAAGCCCCAGCCTGGCCCAGCCGGCTTGACGGGAAGCTGCTGCTGCTTGTGTAGGATACATGCGCCTCCGAGCGAGTGAGTAATCGCCAATGCCAGTGCCAGTGCCAGCGCCAGCGCCAGCGCAGATGCGTGCTCCTCCTCTCACATCTCAATAACCCTGTGCCGTTCCAAGGCGCTGATCACATCTCCGGGAACATGCTGAAGAGGGGGCAACGTGACGGGATCTGTGCTACACTGCAAACCCGTTCCAAAGGGGTCATGTGAACTGGCCAGTGGAGGAGCATCATCTCATGTGCTCCCTTCGCGGAGGCTGATTGATCGTCGCTGTCCCATACGGCCCGTCCCAATCAACCCACTCACTAATCACTCACTAATTGCGCCCGCTGTTGATTTATTGTAGGTACGAAGATACAAGTACTCTGTAGTAGGTAGTCAATAAACTGCGACTCCATGAGGATCAGGATCAGGATCAGAACGGGAGGAAATCTCACCAGCGCCACCCAGGGCGGGCCCCATCTGAGCTAGGCCCTTCGCTGGGTCCGAAAGGCATCGCAAATTGCACTCCCGTGGACAGCCACAGACAGACAAACATGACCGGGAACGGAACGGGGAGGGGCGGGGACTTCTTCACTCACACGGTCGGCAAGGTGAAGTGAGATGGCTTGCTGCTGCTCGCTACTCGCTGCTCGCCCTGCAACGCACACATACGAAGTACCTACCCAGGTAGGCCGCCAAGGGGTCGCTACGTTTTCCTCTTCCAGCAAGCAAGAGCAGATCCCTCCCTGCATTGGGCAAAGCCCATCTCGCCCTGCTCGTCCTTCGCTTCCGCAGCCACATTTGCAGGAGGAGCCAGGTCCGTGGGACAGGCCCCTCGCTCGTCAAAGAGGGATCCATGCAAGTAACTAGTTACAGGTTTGCAGTTACGGACGGCTTGTATGGTTGACTACAGAGCACGTACCGGCCTCCATACCTCCGCGGGTACCTGGACATCAAGTTGCTTCTGAGCGCCACGTTCGCCTTTTTTTTTTCCTTATTAGCGTACCATATCTCTGTGCGAAAAGAAGATGGTGTATATGCATCAGGAACGAACATGAACATCCTATCGGAAGGGGAGTTGGGCGTCGCTCCGGCTCCGAGGGTGGGCGTTCAATCGGAGCAAGGCGAACGTTTCTTTTTTTTTCCTCTCTCTCTC